ATTTTCAACAGTGAATTACTGTAATTTATTTATTGAATAAAAGTAATATTCTGACACAGTGTGAAAGATATCAAAATGGTATTCTCACAGTGTTTTTAGCTCACCTGAGCCGAATGCTCAAGTGAGCTTTTCTGATCACATTTTGTCTGTAGTCCGTCTGTCCGTCTGTAAACTTTTCACATTTTCGACTTCTTCTCAAGAACCACTGGGCCAATTTCAACCAAACTTGCCACAAAGTATCCTTGGGTAAAGGGGATTCAAGTTTGTTCAAACGAAGGGCCACACCTTCTTCCAAGGGAAGATAATTGAGAATTTATGAAAAATTAATGGCATCATTTAAAAATCTTCTTCTCAAGAACCACTGTGCTTGAAAACATGAAACTTATGTGGAAGCATCCTCAGGTAGTGTAGATTCAAGTTTGTTCAAATCATGACCCCCAGGGGTCGGGTGGGGCCGCAATGGGCGATCAAAGTTTTACATAGGAAATATACAGGAAAAATCTTTAAAAATCTTCTTCTGAAGAACAGCAAAGCCATAATTGGTCATATTCATATGGTAGCATCCTCAGATAGTGTAGATTCAAGTTTGTTCAAATCATGACCCCCGGGGGTCGGGTAGTGCCACAATGGGCGATCAAAGTTTTACATAGGAATATATAGGAAAAATCTTTAAAAATCTTCTTCTCAAGAACAACAAAGCCATAATTGGTCATATTTATATGGTAGCATCCTCAGGTAGTGTAGATTCAAATTTGTTCAACTCATGACCCTTGGGGGTCGGGTGGGACCACAATGGGCGATCAAAGTTTTACGAAGGAATATATAGGAAAACTCTTTAAAAATCTTCTTCTCAAGAACAGCAAAGCCATGATTGGTCATATTTATATGGAAGCACCCTCAGATAGTGTACATTCAAATTTATTCAACTCATGACCCCCGGGGGTCGGATGGGGCCACAATGGGCGATCAAAGTTTTACATAGGAACACATAGTAAAAATCATTTTAAAAAACTATTTGTTAAGAAAAGCAAAGCCATGATTGGTCATATTTATATGGTAGCATCCTCAGATAGTGTACATTTAAATTTGTTCAAATCATGACCCCTGGGGGTCGGTTCGGGCCATAATGGGCGATCAAAGTTTTACATAGAAACACATACTAAAAATCTTTAAAAAAAAAAACTATTTGTTAAGAATAGCAAAGCCATGATTGGTCATATTTATATGGAAGCATTCTTAGATAGTGTACATTCAAGTTTGTTTAAACATGTCCCCTGGGGGTCGGGTGGGGCCACAATGGGTAATCAAAGTTTTACATAGGAATACATAGGTTAAATCTTTAAAAATCTTCTACTCAAGAACAGCAAAGCCATGATTGGTCATATTTAAATGGAAGCATCCTCAGATAATGTAGATTCAAATTTGTTCAATTCATGACACCCCCCCCCCAACCACTTTTATATTTAAACTTTTCAACCTTTCAAGATTGAAGTGATTTCTGCTTTTTCCTAGCCATAGTGCTCAGGTGAGCGATGTGGCCCCTGGGCCTCTTTTTTTTTCTTTCTTTTTTTTTTTTTTTTTTTTAAACTAGCTGGCTGTTATAAGAGAGAGAGAGAGAGTAAATAAAACATACGGACAGAGACTAAAACTGCCAGTTTCCCCAAATATGTTGTTAAAAATTCATGTATACGTTTTTCAATCTCTCAATCGCTTAGCTATGACGTCTCAACCGCTCAACTATGACGTCATAGCCTATGACAATTTGTTACGAAAAGACAGGCAAAGGGAAAATCAAAGAAAATGTAATAAACAGAAAATTCAATGTTTTGTTGAAGAATATGGAATTTATTTCACTCGTGAGACAGGATTTTTTGATATTTTCACTCGTGCTTCGCACTCGTGAAAATATAAAAAAAAAATCCTGTCCCACTCGTGAAATAAATTCCATATTCATCTACAAAACATTGAATATCCTCTATTTATTTATTGAATGAAAGTAATATTCTCTCATATTGTGAAAGGATACCAGAGTGATATTCTCTCACAGTTTGAAAGGATGTCAAAGTAAGTAAAAAAAATAATTTCTGGTCTGTAATAAGATAGAGATAGTAACTAAAACATCCTGATAGACTAAAACTGCCAATTTCTTCCCAAATATATTTGCTAAAATCCATGTCACAATGTTTTCAATCTCACAACTGCTAAGCTATGCTCAACTATGACGTCAGAGCTCGTCATAGGACGTCATAGGACACTGTGTTAAGAAAAGTAAGAAGCAACGGGAAAATCAAAGATAATGTAATAAAGCAAAAAATTCAATGTTTTGTAGTTGAATATGGAATTTATTTCACTCGTGAGGCAGGATTTTTTTTTATATTTTCACTATTGCTTCAAAATATCAGAAAACCCTGTCCCACTTGTGAAATAAATTCCATATCCAACTACAAAACATTGAATATCCTCTATCTTTCTGTCACCAAAGCAATGTTCATTTAAAAGTCTTTTTTGAAGAAGAAAAAGAAGCTCATTAGAGCTCTGTGCCAACGTTATCATGTGGTCAAAAAGCCTTATGAACACATAGGGTTATGGGATCATTTCAGGATTACGTCACAAAATAATATTGTTACGCCACAGTACACTTTCCCTGATATTAACTTTTGTAATTAGGTCATCACTTATTTCGTAGAAAACTCTCAGTAAAAGCTTTCAGTAAAAAAAAAACTTCGGATTGGAAATACTCTTTTTATGACTAAACCGACTTTAAATACAGTTATTTTGAGTATATGTTGTTGCTGGTTTTCTTTACTCTATTCCTTTTAAATATACTTGTACTCAGTGATCCTGAAAGAGGGAACATGTATGTATCCTTCTTTAGCTCTCCTAATCTTATACATTGTTATCATGTTCCCCGTTTTTTTTTTCTTTTATAGCTGTGAAGGTGAGAATGACCACGTGTCGTTTACCGCCTTCGCCCACGATGGACCAGACAGGGGTTTTAAACCTATCTGTGGTGTTATGCAGTCACTTATCACTAAACGAGTGTCCGACGGCGCTTACTTCCGGGTTCTGATGAGTTCCACTGATAACTACGAACATACGGGCTTCCTGGGACGATATGAATTTAGCCCTGGTGAGTCACTGACCCGAATACTTTGTAGGGGCTCCCTGTGTCCTCATTTTCACCCTCAATAGTACTAATCAATCAAGGTCTCTCTCTCTCTCTCTCTTTCTCTCTCTCTCTCTCTCTCTCTCTCTCCAAATTGTCATTGTTTCTTTTTTTGCAGATTACAAAGTCTTTCCCCCCACAACATCTTCACCAGAGAAAAGGAGCGGATCCCAGTCTTCAGCAAGTCACACCTCTGTGTTAGACATTCTTTGTGTGATACTGATTTCTATAATTAGTATAACTAAAGTCAATATGATTAGCTAGCTACCGCAAAATGTTCTAGGGAATAAAATGTCTAAAATTCATGTTAAATACTGTAAAATCACACATTTTTTGTCGGGGCAGATTTCGTGGTTTAAGAAAAAATACTGCATGGTCTGTGGGAATTTCGTAGATGAAGAAATGTCGAGTTGTTGGAAATTTTACACTTCGTGTAAGACATGAATACGTGGGTCTCTTCATACATGTACCACCAAAAAACAACGAAAATTAGACCCCATAAAAATAAGTGATTTCACAGTAACTCCAAAAATCAAAACTTAATTACGATTCAATCTTGTCATTTATGTACTGTTTTAAAATTATGCGTGAAATATTCAAAATCATTTGTACAGTCCAATATTATATAGATCTAAAGATTTAAAGATGTAACCATGTTATCGAAATCAAAATAGCACATGCGCACTCCAAGTTTATCATTTACTTCTGGTGGCGCCTATGTGTGATATGTCATTGCACATTTTTTTAATCTTGAAACCTATTAATTTAATTTTATACACATGTATACTATATACTATGAAATCGTTAGATGTATATATCCGCCAAAATATATTTTTAATTTTAGTATATCTTTCCATGAGTATTTTTAAAAATACACATAAACATGTTAGATATCAAGACCCAGAAGCAACATCAAAATTAATATCTTGAATGATTTACAAATGACCTGTATATTGTCTTTAATTGTTGGTATAATAGCAGGAAACTCTCTATTATCTTGACAATTTACCATACGAACTTTTGAGTTAGTTTGTGTTTCTGTAACTTTTTTCTTTCTTTTTTCTTCTTGAAATATCCTATTTATAAAATGTACATTTTTTTAACCTTTTGATATTGTACTGTTTCCAAAAGCTCTTAAGATATTTACTGCTATTAGTTTCTTTTAGTTGCAGTGTGATTGTACACTGAAGACATTGATTTCTATGTACATGTTCAAATTCAACTGAATTCACCAATTTATTATTTGTAAGTTTGAATATATGTTTTAAATGCGAGAAGCTTGAAATGCAAATTATGTTCATCTGAGAGTAAATTGCTATGTTTGTTGCTGGTTTGAAGGACCTTGTGTATAGATGCTTTTTTTTTTATTTCTATCTTTTTCAAACTAATCCTGCTTACTTCTGTTATAAAATGTATGGAATTGTTTTTAATGAATTGTTACTATTCTAGATCTGCATATTGCGTTAACATATTTCAAAAAAAGCCAGACATGAGTGATCTTCAAGAACATTACATAATATGTTTTCACACAAGTTGGATTTGTCATCAAGACAAGGAATAAACTTAATTTTCAAAGAAAGTTGTGATGACTCTTCACAACCGAAAATATTAATATGTTTCGTAAACTTGGTCATCGATATACTATATTTGCTTGTATCACCAGTATATGTCTCCATTCCTTGAAATTCATTTGGAAGACTGGTTATCTAGATCCATGAATATCTGCAGACTGGAAGATCTTGGCATAAAAATCTTCATTTGGCAAATGGAGATTTGGGAGAAAAACATTAATTTTGATTTCTTCTACTGTTCAGCAATAAAATGACTTGGAAAAAACTTTTTTACTAAATTTATTGCACTTTTTCTTTATAAACTTTCGGCTCTTGTGGCCTCAAAATCAACAATATCACAGCAACACTTGATACAAGAGATCCAACAACTGCAGTTCCTGAGTAACTCACTTCCATAACAAGTCCAGAAATGAATGGAGAGAGCATGCGTGCTAATGACATCACACTCTGACTCATTCCAATAATACCTCCCACATTTTTCCCGCCACATCGTTGTATCGTAAGGCTTGTAGATGAAACTCTCAGCATTGAAGTAATAATGCTTAAAGGGGTATAACAGATTACATATAACACAATGTTACTGACAATACTTAAAGATAACAGAGTAAATGTTTGAAATACACTCATATATAAAACTATCTGAGCATCACTTCTAAACAGTTTTGAGATTCTCCCCACTAGAAATCCACTGAGAGCTGCGATGGTTGCCGAGTATGAAATGAGGTAACCAATGTTACTGGGTGACATATGAAATATCTCTCGCATTGTCAGTGAAAAGTTGCTCCTGTACAGTAATATGGAGAAGCCTAGACAGAACTTGATTAGAAACAGATCCCAGAGGTTTTTCCAGTCAAACGTTCTAAGGGATTGAAGAAGAAGCTTAGGACTGAAGTTTTCTTCACCTGAATTAAGTCTTTTTAGGGAATCTTCAGAATCATTTCTCAGTGGGGTGTTTCCCTTGTTACAGTTGCTGGATTCTTTGTCCTCTACTACTGCCCACACAAACACTAAAGATTCAAGAGTAATTTTGCTTTAGTGAGTATGACAAATATGTAATGTACTCTTCTAATGACCATTGAACAAACAAACATGTAGTCAGTAAAACATGCTCATAGCAAAGTGCCAGTGATGAACAATAATGATTCGTTATAAACGAAAATCATTATATCCCATAAGTTCATTATATGATTTAAAACCACAGTGAGTGAAAATCGCTTCTCTGTAAGCGTTAATTTTTATAAGCTAGTTTCCTGTAACCTTTTTTTTACTTTACAACATCACTGAGGTTTTTGTCTTTGATTGCTCAGGTGATTGCACAGGGAACAATACCATAATGGTGGAATTATTAGTGAGACGCAAATTTAGCGAATTGTTCTTCAAAATCGGTATTAATTTTAGCAAGAAGTAATTTTAGTGATTTTATGGTGCATAGAAAGACAACAGTAACCCCCCTAATGCGGACTAAAATGTTAGCGATATTTAATTTTAGCGATCTCAAATGTCAAAATTACATCCTCGCTAAAATTTGTGCGGTATTCTGCAGTTTTTTGTTAATCTTAGTTTTGCGGTAAAGAAAAGGTTAGCTTTCCATTGGTTTAAAAAGGAAGCTTCTTGAATTGTAAAATGTTATTAAAGATTCAGCTTTCAAGTATTAAAAGTAAGCTTTAACAAGACTAGAATCTTTAAGGGACATGTCTGTCATCTGAAGTCATCCATAGTTGTTTTAAAGCTTAGATATTTTTTTTCTCTTTAAATTCATAATTTTTTTTTTAGATTTTCTGTAAAACACATCAGAATCTGTATAGATGCAAATCTTGAGAGGAATTATAGCATTTCGTAGAGATAACTTTTCTTTGCCTTTGAAGATGGGCTTTCTCCTGGCATGTAAAAATATCTATTTTAAATAATTTTAAACTGAATACCTAAAACTTTGCTTCTAGAACATGTCTATGATTTTTATAAATAAGTATTTCAATAGGAAAGATATATTAGATCTATCAGAAAAAAACAAGACAGTTCAATACAGAATAATTACCGGTATATACCGTAAGAATGTCGAAATGAGAATCCTATGCAGTAAAAACTGATTACAGCAAGCACGCCTATAATGAATTCACACTTGCTTCCAGCAAAGTGATTTTAATTCCCTGTACATGTATTTTTAAAACATGAAGAATCAAATCCTTTGTTCCTGATTTTGCTATAAGCATTTTATACTGTAAAACTTTTATAAATATGAATATATGAAGAATGTTTATTTGGTGTTGGAGAGGTTTACAATCATCCTGGGAGCAAATGATAAGGCTTGCAAAACTTCCCTCTCTGCAAAGTATTTTCTATTGTCACATTGATCATCATTCTTATAACACCAAATATAGATTGACTCTCTCATTTCCTAGTTAGCAGACTGCACAAAACATTAACTAAAGACTGCATTCCAATCAGTTTAGACATGTCAAAAAACATTAATATGGTAAATAAAAGATGCATCTGACATAGAGTTTTTGCTAAGTCCTATAGTGCAAAACATACTGATACAAAATTAAAGCCAATTTAGTACTACTGATATACGTCCTACCTGCATTGAGAACAAATATAGCAGTACATAGGAAGGTGACTTTATAGAATCCCCCACTAGTCTCTGCCAATCTGCCCCCTACCATTGGACCTAGGATAAAGCCAATACTGGAAGCAGCATTGAAGGTCCCCAGCACCCCGGACTGGTCACTCCGAGAGGACACATCTGTCAGATATGACCTGGATACACTCTGACTGTGTTTGAAGATACCTATAAGGGCCAACAAGAAACATTTCATTCTTAGATTTCATTAAGATCCATTCACACCTTTATGAATAAATCTGTAACTTTACTACAGTTTAATCTGCTCAACAAACACTGTGGAATCATAATTGTTTGTGGAAGGGGGGAATGTTTGTGGATTTCCTGGGTCACTTTTACATGTACCCATGATTTTACATCCCCATGAACAATTATTTTGTTTACATATTGTTTCATTGAATCTTTAAAAGATTATTAAAGAGTTACCCAAGAAATTATGTCCCCATGAACATTGACTCTTATAAATTAAATGATTCCATAATTTTTTTTTTTTTTTTTTTGGTTACATACATCTATTGAAATGATTTTTATGAATTACAAATATAGTCATTGCTTTAGCTAAAAGAATTTCATAGGATGTTTTTATTCATTCCCTTAAATGGAAAGCATTGCTTGTGTTCTTCATAAGCAAGTTCTTTAATTTGGTTAGCAAGTTTTACTACATAATATGAATAAGATTATATATAACTAACACATGTGTTACTGTAAAAGTTAAACTTATGTAAATATTTATTTTCAATAAATTACTGTTAAAAAAAAACAACAAATTAATTGAAAATATTCTCTTGAAATTTCATACCAGTCCAGTGCAAAGCAAACCTGATTCTTTCAAAACAAAAATTAAACACTGACATAATTGTTCTCAAGTTTAAGTTTCAAGTTGAAGCTTCAACATTCATTTTATTAACTATAATGACAAACAACCAAAAAGACGTTTATGAATAATTGCAAATAGTATTTTCCTCTGTTGAAGACGGTGAAAGATAATTTGTTTTCCGATACACTGCTAATTCTATAAATTGGAAACTTAGCAGCACACTTTTTTGCTTTTTCCCATGCTGTGCTGCAATCCATCTCAAAATCAATACTTTAGCACGTTTCATTATGTAAATCATACAGGTCTTTCCCTTGTGGCAATAAAAAATTTTTTGTTCTCAACGTTTACTTGATGTATAATTTTCATTTTAATGCAGTGCCACATCTTGCATTATTGTCTTCTATCAGTAATAAATTTTAGAAGATTTAAACAATTTTTATTCATTTAGGAAATAAAAAAAGGATTTCACTCTAAAATGAAGTACAATCATTATTTTAAAGAATTTACCATTGTTGCATTATTATCTTCTATAAGAAAAAAGATTTAAACAATATTGTTTTCATCATACATGTAGTAAGGAAATGAAAAATCATATAGCTATAGGTGTCCTTTTGACCTTGATCTTGGAGTTTGACCTACTTTTTAAAAAACTTTAACCTTGGACATAACTTTTTAATGGTTGCTGATAGGGCTTTCATCTATCACATGTATATTCCTAATGACAAGACCTTCCTTTGGGTACCAACATTTTTAACCTCCTAACCTTAACCTTTGAGTTTGACCTACATTTGTAAAAGCTTAAACTTTGCCTACAACTTGAAAATGGTTGCTGCTTGTGCTTTCATATTTCACTTATGCTTTTCTTGTGATAAGACCTTTCCTTTGGTATCAATATTTTGGACCTCATGACTTTGGTCTTGGAGTTTGACCTACTTTCAAAAAGCTTTAACCTTTGCCAGAACTTTTGAATGGCTGGTGCCAGGGCTGTCATATTTCACACATGTTTTCCTTGTGATAAGACCTTTCTTTAGGTACCAATATTTTTTAACTCGAGATCTTGACCTTGGGAGTTTGACCTTCAACCTTAGCCTTGAGCTGCAGTATGGGGGCATCAGTGTTTCACAACACATCTAGGATTTTTTTTTCAAAAACAACTAAACCGCAACAGATGTTTGTAAGTCAATGCTGATTGTGATGTAATGTGCAAACAGCAACATTATGAATAAGGAATTAAAACTGATATCTAATTACATTGTACTTTGCATATTTATCAATTTCCATGGATTTATTGCTAACTAAACCTAGATGATAGCTTAATTGCCAACTTTGTAAATAATGTATCATTTCATTTGATGTCAAACAGACTAATCTGATCAAAGCTGGAATTCAGAATAAATCATTCTGGTGGTCGTGAAAAATTTCCAAAAAAAAAAAATGTCATTAGGAAACTAAAAATTATAAAGGCTCCAATGATTCTGTTGTGAAAATTCAATATGTTATTAATTAGTCCCCTACTGGTGAAACCAGAGGGGACTATAGATTTTCTTATCTGTTAATCTGTCTGTCTAGCTGTCTGTCCATACGTCTGTCAGTCTGTCCCACTTGTATTCTGCAATTTTTTTTCTACATGATTTCATACATGCTTGAAGATATTAAGTTGATTTTTGCTATGAGGAGTTAAAGACCAAGATTACATTTCATTCCATTTTGAAGAGTTTTAACAGAATTGCTGACTTTTACATATGTAACTTTCTAAAGGGAACCAGATTATACTTGCCAGTAGGGGACTAGTATTACTTATGCAATACTTTCAGAATGCTTGTTAGTCCCCTACTGGTGAAAGCAGAGGGGGCTATAGGTTTCCTCCTTATCTGTCTGTCTCTCTGTCTACAAGTCCCTCTGTCTGTCTGTCAGTCTGTCCCATTTGGATTTTTTCCATGCTTTTTTCTACACACTTGCAGATACTGAGCCACTACTAAACATTAACTTTTGTTTAGCAATAACAACAAAATTAAGCAGATCATTATACCAAAATAAAAAGAGTATGCTCTTGTGCCAGATGAATACTTAATTCTTAAAGCTTTCTGCAAAGAACACAGAAATTACTTTGTGATAATCATAACAGGTTCCAGCACACAAAAACTGTCATTTAACGTCAATATCTAATCAAGATTTATAGTAGATATTTACATGGTAAATAACAATTTAATTCTTAAGGACCGTTTCAAGAATAGTTTGAACATTTTGATCTTGCTAACAATTGACCTATTGATCATAAAAGAACTATTACCTCTAACTAAATTTGAAGTAAGGGCTATACCCAAATTGATTCCTTTGAAGAGTAATTATCATAGTCCTTTTTCAACATCTCCCATATTATACATATAATTTTAGAACAAATTCATTTTAGGTCTGATAAATAAAAATAAGAAAGAGTGACAGTCATCTTCCTAAAAAAGGGGAAAAAAAACATAAAAAGAAGGGGGAGGGGGTACTGACTATGACATGAAGAAGGGACAAAAAAATACTGATCCAACTCTTATAAACCTTTCCAAATTACATTTCAAAATCCTTATACATTGGTTATATAACTATGACAGCCAATGAATCTCAATTGAATAATAAATGTCAAGCATATCTTTGTAGTTTACAGATAGAAGAAATGCAACAAAAAATATATCAGATCTGATAAAAAAAAAAAAGTAATCCATGGTAATTATACACTGTACCTGTGGGAATCCTGGAGAGCATCAGGACAATGAGGGTGGTTGAGAAGCTCATGAGGAAATATCCCCCCGCCGAGGCGAGCAAACAGAACAGGAGACAAAACTTCCTCCCAGCATTGTCACTCCACTGACCCTGTATAAAAGGGGAACAAAACATGTTACAGGTATAAGAAACTGTATACTGTACATAGTTCAATATTTTTTGGATGTGAATTTTTTTCAGGGGAAAAGGGATTCAATTTACACTCTAATCTTCATCGACAACATGGCTGCATTCAAATTGAAAAGTTTTTTTCAAAGACGTTGCAGTTAACATGGTTAATAAACAAGTTTAAGAAGACTTTTTTAAGTCTCATATGATGAGAATCAGAGAATGTATAAGAAAAATAAAAATAGAATTCATATCATTGACTTTAAATGTTATTTGCTAGACAACATATTATAATTATGCTGGACTTAAACCAGTCCTATGCTTACTTAGAAGTATTTATTTTCTCTTTACAATGTTTACAAAATTCTTTCTATCTTTTAGGTGGTGGAATAGATTTAAATATATTTTGCTTTTAAGTTTAAATTATTTTTAGAAAAAAATGAAAGAAAAAGTGAGCAAGCTCACATACCCCACGCTCCCCCAAAGCTCGACAATGCAACACATACTGTACTTATGAAATTATTTAAGGCAAAGCACCGATTTGAGGGGGGGGGGGAACTACATGTATCCAAGATTGTGTGTGTGTGTGTGTTAAATCATTAATATTTTGATCTAAAATCAATAGGGGTCTTATAAGGTCATAAAGTATTTCACATAAAAATTTCATTACAAAAGCTGATTCCAGTGGATTTCCTTATTACCTAGCTGGAAAGTTTCTTCAATAATAGGCAAAACTCTTAGGGCAAAAATAATGGAATTTGAATTTCCTGGTAATATGCACATCTACACACTGTGTACTAAATATCTGCAAAGTTTGACAAAATTCTGTGCAGCGGTTTAAGAGGAGTTGTGCTGACAAACTGTTCATCTCTATATTCAAGATATGGCCAAAATCTAAGTTGAAAAGTGCCGAAATTCCCAGAAAAATAATGGAATTGGAATTTCCTGGTAATATGCACATCTACACACAGTGTACTAAATATCTGCAAAGTTTAATGAAATTCTGTGCAGCGGTTTAGGAGGAGTTGCGCTGACAAACTGTTCTTCTCTATATTCAACACACTGCTCAACGCGTTATCGGCATTTCAGTTGTTATCCGGCATTTGGTGCAAGAAAAGCAATGTTTGCAAAATGTAGGTTATTTAAAATTTCTGAATTCAACGATAATTGCGTACTCCAGCAAACAAAGTTTGTGATCTTTGGCAGATATATGATTATACTTTCAGCAGCAAAAAATACAAACCAAATCACTGTCTTTCAAAAGATCAACAACTCTTTCAAATGATATTTTATAAAAAATTTCGAAATATGTCATCACATTTTAGCTTTTGTAGAAGTCAATTTCGTTTTTTTTGTATTAAACAAAATAGTTTATATATTCTATAGACAATCATATACCTGTAGATAAGCAGAAATCAAAAATCCAAATTAAGGGTTAGTTAACAGGCATCTAAAATGTCTCGGTAGGTGAAAACATGTTATCGTCAACAAGGTTGATGTTGCCGGATAATTCGGTTTTTACTGGTGTAAGTTATCGGAAACTCAGGTTAAAAAGTTTCCTTCAGCTTTAGAAATAGATTGAAAAAAAGTCCATTATAATCTGTCAATCCTTGAAAATTACAAACATAATTTTTTAAAGTGATTTTTGAAAATTTTCTAGCTGTCCATTGTTAGTTTTTTGATATACATGTAAATAATTATAATTATGATTTTATAATAGAACTACTTATCTGTTCAATCATTTTTCTGTTTTCCTTTAAAGATAGCCACAATTGGCTTCCATCGGTTTCAGACGTAATTGTGCATGTATACAACAAATCTATAGTTTCTTTAGTTAGTCAGGTCTTACGATCTATTATGTCATTTTTGCAAAAACATCGTCACTTCAAGTGCCCAAATGAGCTAAAAGTTTGTTTTGTCCAATACAGAGCGATAGCATTGTTTGTATCAAATCATTTTAAGGACATACCCAATGTAGTTTGAACTTTATTGTCTTTTTCCCTGGAGTTGAAGAGTTCCAATACTTAAAGGAACTTTGTGCTACATTTTAATGTCTATATATGCTATTGTACACTTCTTCTAAAACAATTTTGGATAAACAAAACATATTGAATATATGTTCAGTAATTTTTGTATATTTTTCTTTCAATTATACAGGAATTTTCATCAATTGTTATCTTTTCAAAACCCCTGGTAATGCATGCTGATTTTTTGTCTACGAACATTTGATGGCACTTTAATCTAAAATAAAGAATATCTTGAAAAATTATCAGTAGGTAAGGTACGTTGCGAATGTCCTTAAGGTTTGAAATAGAGGAAATCGAATGAGGTGCAAATATACCGCAAAGAAATATTTCTTTTTTGTTATAATTGGGTATGTATAAGATTAAGGAGACTATCCTTGTACAAAAACATTGTTCAGTAAAAATAAATAAAATTGATTAAAAAAAAAACGTTGAACTCATTCCCCAAACGTTAAAAATACCTATTGGGGGAGGGGGGGGGGGGTGCTGGTCAATTCACTTTAATTCTTCACATGTTTAACCTTTTCTACAAACAGTGATCCGCGTTTTCAATGAGGAAGGGGGTGTGCCAAGGTTTTTTTTTTCTTTTTTATTTGCTTCACTATAAATATTCAATATAACTCTGTGAAATCCAGGTGAGGTCCGACCGTCCCCGACAACGCCATCCTAAATCCGAATATGAGCTCCACCTACACATTGAATTGTCTACGGATTTTCCATTCGGCCGATAATGACAAAGAGCACTCCGCGGGTGTGATCGGTCGACAGGGGATGCTTATCCCTTCTTTGCCCCTGAAACAACATCTGATGTTGTTAGAGTTCCGTGATTACTCTGCTCCAAATGTATACTGTTTCAATAAACTTTTGAACTTGAATAAGTTATCTTTATATTTCATTAAAAATAGTTTCTCTCCGTCCGTAACGCTTTTTGTAAAAATTAATAAGTAAAGTCATTTTATTTTCTCAAAAGTTGGAATTCTTGGTCATATTTTGTCTAACACCCTTTTGGAAAATTCATTTAACCACCTTTGAGTTTAGATTCTTTAGTTGCTTTATACCAAACTAATACTTGTATGTACTTAGTTCTAACAAAAGGAACAACGACTGTTAAGGGGAGATCAAAAATGCAAAGTCAAGGAATAAAAAGTTAAACGAAGCAAGGAAAACAGAGACAAAAGCGAAGAACAGTGCATAACTGGAAGGCAACACACAGAAAACTAAGAGTGAATTACTGTGAATTTAGCAATTATTGCAATGCTTTTATATTGCGCATAATGCAACGTAAGAATCTCAATAAATAAATTTGTCATTTGTATTTTGGTTACAACAGAGATTTATAATTCAGAGAATTAACTAATACGATATTTTCGATCAGGTCAAGATCATACACATTTCGGTGATTATGAGATATGCCAAAACATTCATGATCAAAAAACACTCCTTTTCTTAAAGTTACATATTCTAAAAAGAGACAAATGTTATCCAAAAATTAGTATTGTGTTCTTGCCACTTTAAATATTTAGATTTAATGAAGATTTCTGTTGTTTCTTTAGATTTTTCCTAACCTATGACAACCTTTGTTTTCGATAACTAAAACCAAAATTTCCGATAACAATGTGAACCATTCAACCGCATTTCTATTTTTATAGTGTTTATTTACAACAATTTAATAACCTGTCCAAAGTTGTTATCCACCGAATGCCCAATAACAACCGAATAGCCGATAACGCGTTGAGCAGTGTGTTCAAGATATGGCCAAAATCTAAGTTGAAAAGTGCCGAAATTCCCAGAAAAATAACGGAATCGGAATTTCCTGGTAACATGCACATTTGCACATTGTGTCCTAAATATCTGCAAAGTTTGAAGAAATTCTGTGCAGTGGTTTAGGAGGAGTGACCGACTGACTGACAGACGGGTCAAAAACATTATACCCCCCGCAACTTGTTGCGTGGGTATAATAAAAACACAGAGCATTATCATATCATCCAATATAAAATAATTTTTGTTAGAGAAAAATAGTAAGGGAGACAATCCAGAAAAGCCCAATTTAATATTTTCACAACTGTTCATAAAAGCTTCTTGCAAGTGTTTATGTGAGAATACATGACATTATATTAAAATATATGACATATTTTGATATATTTCTCAATAAATTTATAAAGCGGACCAGGGCTGTAATGTTCTTGGACTACTTTGGCACTTGCAATTGTGACGTCACAATATATTTTCCCGGCTCTCCATTCTTAATGACATAACATACAGTCATGTACATTTGATATCACAAATATCCATTACTTATGTTGTTAGGATATTTAAGATCAGGAATACAGAGAAAATTCAATGATGTGAGTAGGATAAACAATGTATTTGCATTAAAATATGCAATAAAAATTTATTGACTGAATATTGAAAAATATGAGGCGTCACAGTAGCTCAGTTGGTAGAGCACTGGCTCTGTGATTGGAAAGTCATGTGTTCAAATCACAGCCGTGACTGACCTAAGTTGATAAAAAATAGGTAGCAACTGTTCCTTCACCAAGTGCTCGGCACTTTGAAGTGAAAGTTTTGGGTCCTTTGGATGAGACCTTATAAACCGAGGCCCCATGTCACAGTAGGTGTTGGCACGATAAAGATCCCTCACTGCTCAATGGCCCTCAGTGCTGAGTAAAGATCTAAATTTGAAGCCCTTCACTGATATATGGTGACGTCTCTATCTGAGTGAAAAATTCTTGAACAAGATGTAAAACAACATGCAATCAATCAATCGAAATATATGCCCACCCTCAATATGTGTGCAGATGTGGACCTCACAATTTTGGTCTGCTTTACTACACAAAGACCTCGGATGGGAATATTTCCTGATATTCATTCAAAATCTATAAATATTAATAAATATGTAGGCAATTGCAATACTTAGCTCCAAAATTTCAGTCACTACAGTAATATGTACTGCAAATATCCACATAATACTCTAAAATGTATCGAAAATTATAATATAAGTTAATAAATACTGGTAATAAGTTTTTCTATAACTTACCACAATAGGACTAGACATTAGCTGGAGAGCTCCATATGTAGATCCTACACAAAAGTAATTAAAGTTTTCACGGTAATATTTTTATAAGCTATTTTTGGTACATTTCACTTAAATTTTACAGTAGTTTACCTGTAATTTCCATTCTAACATTTCAGAAATTATTTTTGATTTAAAAATATTACAGTGACATATTAATGATTTACTTCTGTTACCATGGTTATGTTACAGAAATTCACCTGATATTACATGTAATAGTTACTTGCATATAGTTCACCTTTGTTACAATACTTTACCTATAATCCCCGTAACTGTGGGGGTGGCTCCCAGATCCCTGGCATGGGTGGATATGAGGGGGAGAATCATACTGACCCCAAACAGGTCCTAAAACCAGACACAGGTGTATATAAGAAACGTTCTGCGATTCATTGTGTTCTTAAGTACATGACATGCCCTCTTTTAAATTTATTTTTATTCATTAAACAGTATGAATATATGATCTGAATGAAACTCTATTGGGACCGGGGGGAGGGGGGAAAAATCTCTCATTTTTTATACATATGGAATGAAACTTTTATTGTCCCACTGCATAAGAATAAGACAGGTACTAAATCTGATCCAAACAACTATAGAGGATTATCAATAAGCTCAAACTTGGGGAAAGTATTCAATAAGATCATACATTTGAGATTAATCAAATTTACTCTAGATAATAATCAGATTAGCAAAAATCAAATTGGCTTTATGGAACACAGCAGAACAGCTGACCATATATTTTCTATAAGATCAATAATTGAGCACTAGAAACTCAAAAAGAAAAAAAGTTTATGCAGCATTCACTGATCTGAAAAAAAACCCACTTGATACGATTTGGAGAATAGGATTATTTTACATACTTCTAAAAAATGGTGTTCCAAAGAAAATTTTCATTGTGATTTATTCTATGTATGCGAACACAAGGAACAAAATAAAGTTAAATGAGGGGTTAAGTGAACCCTTTACAGTGTATATCCGAAAGGGGTATCAAGCAAGGTGATGTACTAAGTCCCTTGCTTTTTAACATTTTCATAAACACTCTGATCCAATATTAGTAAAGGATACAAAAGTACACTGCTTGTTATATGCAGATGACTTAGTTTTGTTGTCAAGTAGTCCTGATGGTCTACAATGTAGCCTGAATATTCTTGAAAATTATTGTGTTAACTGGAAGCTAGAGATTAACATGTCCAAATCAAAAATTATGGTATTTAATTCTAATGGTAAATTTTTTTTAAACCATTTTACTATTTATGGTTATCTGTATTGAAAATGACACAATTGACAAATATTGCTATCTTGGTATAAATCTTAAATGTAATGGCAATTTTAACCTTGCTGCAGCTCAGTTAGTGGATAAAGCCAGAAAAGCTTTATTCAAGATAAAGAAAACCCTTGGAATACATAATTCCTGCTGATTACTTGAAAAATTGTTTGATACTATGGTAATTCCCATTTTGCTATATGGAAGCGAAGTTTGGGGTATTGAGTCAGTCATAAAAAATTCAGGCTCGGCATCTTATGAAAAGTTTCATTTTAAATTTTTTTAAAAAATCTTAGTTCATTGCAAAACTTCAAATAATGTTTGCTATTCTGAAGACTCCCAGTCAGATCAAAAATTATTATGTTTGCTATCAAATACCTTGATCATTTAATTTCGATTGAACGTACGTTGGCACATGATATCTTTATCAAAACTAGTGTAAAGAAAATAACACATGGTCTATGTGTTTAAAGACTTGTCTTAATAACTTGGGGTGTTTCTAGTTAACAAATTTTAATATGTCATTGAAACCAGTGCTTGGCATTGTTAAGCAACATATTCATGATCAAATATTACAAGAACAAAATGCAAGTATTATGAACTCCTCAAAACTATCATTTTATCGGAACTTTTGTTTTAATAATAAACATGCACATTATGTTGACAAACTAGAGTCACTGCATGATAATGTTATGTGTGCCAATAAAATATTTTGATTTTTTTTATTTTGATTTTACATCTTAAAGGTGCTTAGACACAGATCTGAAGTTAATATTTTCTCAAATTTTCTGTATAATATCACGACTTATATATTGCAATAGCATTTTACATGAAAATATAATAAAAAACTTATTTTATCTGGAAATTATTGGAACTAAGAATTCCTGAATGCGTTTGATTAACACATCCTTGCACTTTCACAAATTTTATATTTATCCTTAATATTTAAGAAAAGAAGCGATTTTGTTGTGTATTAATGAAAAACATTATATTTATAATCCAGAAAATTCAGAGTAGAAATGTGCAAAAGCAAACCCCCTCACTAATATTGTCAGCCCGTGCTCAGTGTTGTGTACAGAGTTTAACAAATTGAATACACCCGTGAAACGTAAACTGTTTTTGTAAACAGGGCACGAGCTCTGTTATTGTTAATGTTTACGATTCACCGGGTCTGTTCAATTGTTAAAGTCTGCACACACCACTGAGCACGGACTGACAATACTGTGAGTGGGTTTTGCTTTCGAACATTTCTACTCTAAATTTTCTGAATTATAGTTTTAATATTTTTCATTAATACACAACAAAATTGGGCACAGTGTAAAGACCTGATGAGTGTAATGACCTGATTGACCTGATGAACATATTTTCAAACAATAACAAAATTGCCACTTTTCTTGTAAGTATTAAGAATAAAATTAAAACTGTGAAAGTGCAAGGATGTGTCAATCAAACGCGTCCAAAAATTTGAAGTTTCAATAGCTTCGAAATAAAATAAGATTTTTATTATATTTTAGTATGAAATGCTATAGCAACATATAAGTCATGAAATTATGCAGAAAATTTGAGAAAATATTAACTTCAAATCTGTGTCCAAGCACCTTTAAGTTTAAGAAATTTTAATATTGAAAATAGACATTGTAAATCTAAATCATCTGAAATAGATGTCATATTTAACTTACTCCACAAAAGTCACAGGTATATCTTATATTTGAATAACATTACTACATTTCATACTTGTTTCGAAGCATGCAAACTAGTTTCGTTTCATAACTGACAGGTCAACGTCATAATAATTGGCAAAAACCATAACAGATGCGTTATTTTAAATCCATACAACCTTCTTTGAAGAATTTACTACAATTTACACCAACTGAAAACTTAACAATCTTACCAGAAATCCCGAAAAATACATTGACAACACATTTCGTCGTCTTGTGTCCATAGTTTTGTTTTCTTCTGCGAGTTATCTCCCCCTGTTAATAATGCACGGTTAAGTCGTCCTTACATTGCTTCCTGTTTAAACTTTCGTTCATTTGTAGACTGGCTTGCCTGTCTGATATGAGCGATATCTTTCGAACGATAGAGACAGGCAATACCAGTCTAGTTCATTTGTAAAATACATGTATCATCATTTTCTTACGAAACTACTGTAAAATAGGATTTAACTTGGTATATTCATTGAAAGCACATCTCATCATTCTGTCAGGTATCATTTGGTGTGGGGTTTTTTTCCTCACTAAAGAAAGTGTATTAAAGAACAAGCACGTGCAAGTGCTTGTGGACTGCCCCCCCCCTCCCCCTCCCCTTTTCCCCATCCTGGTCAAGTTCTTCTTCTTCCCATTCAGTGCAAAACTACTTAGGTATTCTGCGTGAGGGGGTGAGTGTCTATGTACAGTGCACAATAAAATTTAAAAGTTGCTTGCCCTTTTTAATTTTATTTTTATTTTTCATCTATTTATTTATTTTTTAAATAAATTTATCTTCTTATTTTACATATGTACAATAGATTTAAATAGCATGTTTGCGTTATCAAATTATAACCCGGCATAGATGATACGTACCCGTTTAAATAAATATTCAGACGTGGGGTCAAGAAATTTCTGAGTTGGTAATTTTTTGACTGGGTTAGAACCCAACCCCCCAACCCCCAAGAAATGTCAAGAAATTTCTGAATTGGTAATTTTTTGACTGGGTTAGAACCCCCCCCCCCCCCACCTCTGGAAAAAAAAATCCTGGATCCGCGTCTGGACGCCACTTAAGTGCACGTGTGTTTGGATACTTTCAAAAGTAAAGTCTGTGAAAGATATTAAGAGGAATTCGAAAGGTTAGTTACTGTTGCAGATTGTTTCCCGATAAATATGCCTTAGCACCTGCACTTTGACACATATTTTCATTGTGGTTCAGAACACACCTCCCATTTATACCTTGAAGAGCCAGAAGCCCAAAGTGTATCTCTTTATCTTACGTTACATTTAAATCGACACGAGTGTTCATTCAAAAAGAACAAACTTCATTGTCTCTCAGAAATTTTATTTAAAATACAAAAGGTCCATCACGCACATTGGATCAATTTGATCTCGGCTCCTCAATTAAATTGTTTAAACGGACACGTAGCTGTTAAATAGTGCCTGGTTGCATATATTTAATGTAAATATTAGCGCACTACTTGTACTGTCATTTCTAAGTATATTACTCTGTATCTGTGTGTCCTGAAGAATGGAAAAATGATCATTGGACCCAGGGTAAGGTCTGCGGAGTTTCTGGGTAAGTCCTTTATGTTTGTTGAATCGTGGACCTTACTGTGATCCCGATATTCAATTTTGAACTAATTTCAGGATGTATATAATAATTTATCGGTGTATCTGTCCTTCCAGATTTATGCAACCCTTAATGTTAAAACGGCCTATAAGTCAAAAAGAAAATACCATTTTTTTAAAAAGAAAAATGACCTACATACACTTGTAAACGTTTAACATACACGGATCTAGAGGAATCCGAGGTCTGGACCCTCCCCCCGTAGTTGAATTTGAATAATTTTAAATGTTCTTTCATAAATTTAGATACAAATGGGGACGTTTCGTATTTTAATGAGCAATGACTTTTAGAAACCAAGGAGACTGTGTAAAGTGTACGAATTAAATATTTGTATGTTCTTGTTAAAGGAACTATATAGTTTCTTAGAGCATTAATTTGTGATATAATTTGAGTAAATGAGTTATGACTCATATTTCCTGATCAAATTTGTCCGAACTTCCGTCATTTCAGGCCCGTACGATTTCGGGGGGGGGGGGGGAGGGAGGCAATCAAAAATATTTTCAGTTTAGGGGAGGGGGCACTATCAAGCAAAATTTTCTTAAAAAGCAAAAGTGAAAAGATCATCAGGCGTTCTTAAATTATTGAGGGGGGATATCTATAAAATAGCTTTCATTTCTATATACATCTATACAGTACACTTATTGGCGGGGGACACGGTCCTACTGCACCCCCACCCCCTCCAAGTTCCTACGAGCGCCGTCATGATTTTCGTATCTGTCTTTCGATTTAAATGTCAGTGTAATATATACCAGAGACATAATATTAATACATGTAGCAGAATAGCTACTGAGGACAAAAAAGAAAGAGTTGTGGATTAAGTGGTTAGCTGGAGTCTTGAACAACAAAAATGTACCAAAAAATTTTGGATGAACAATCTAACAAATTGTCATTAATGTTCAACAAAAAAGCACATCCATCCTCTTTATACATATTCCTATTTTCATTTCTTGTCAAGATGTTTTTTTTTTTTTTTTTTTTTTTATAATTAAGGTTGTTTGCTCACATAAGAGCGTACATGTATTCAAAATGTACAATGTATGTATAGCTATTATAGTCAACTTACCGTCAATGTCATAAGAAGCGAACTACTGTTTGGGTTTTAGCATACGTCTTCAGTAATCTAGTTAATTTATTTCATATTTTTTTTCTCTCGTTACTGTTTAGGCGAATCAGACGTGTTTCAGGAGAAGGAGTACTTAGGGTTTAGTAAAATTAAAAATTTCTATCCGTGCGTCCAATATCAGTAGTTGAGCTACTGTTTTCAAAACTATAGATTTGTATAAGGGACGTATTTAAATCTTCTTAGTTCAAGTTCAATTTATTCACCCAAACCAAAATGTATGAATGTATGATAAACTTAAAGAACAAACACATGCATTATTTACACATTCTGAAAGGAAAAAATGACACATATAATATTATCATATTTAATTAAGAAGTCTTTATTAAAATATTGATTTCATAATTAGTATCAGTTTTATAAGTAAAAGTATTAAAGAACAATGCTATCATTAAAAAAATAAGTAAAACAAAACAAACAAAAAACAGTATTATTTAGCTTCTTCTTAAATCCCAGTCCCTGCACACCCAATCAAAATAAATGCGTGGTAAAATTATTACGAAAATGGACATAGTTACATATGCTAAGTACGATGTATACTATATATCTTTCAAAAATTCTAATACAGGAGATAGTAAAATCTAAATCTTATTACTGAAGCTAAAAAGAAAAATGATATTATATACTTATAAGGTTAAAACAATGCATCAATCTTTAAAATAGAAGACCAACGATTTTAAAATTCTGATTTGCAATGATTGTCTTCTTGATGTGTATATCTGAACTACTCTATAAGAGTTGTCGTTCTTTGTTAATTTTTGTTAAATATTCTAAATTCTAAGGGAAACCTTTAAATTCAAAATCGAACTTTTGGAAAGATTACTACTCTGTTGTGGGTAAAGGTTGATTGAGTTCACGCAAACAAGCACTGAAAAAAATTAAATCTCTCCATGTGTTCTTTAATACAGTAGAATTTTAAATACAAATGACGCAAACACACGCATATTTAACAGTGTGTTGTAATCTAAAAAAAAAAATGGAGAGAGAAAAAAACCCATTAGTAGTAAGTGTTCTAAGTTGACAAAACAAAAAAAAACTTTCTAACAAACAGTTGCAATTTTGAACATTTTACAATAATACACCTAGATGGATAAATTCTGTTGTCCTTAAGAATATAACTATTTGAATATTGCATTCACTTCATCAAAACCAACCTTAGAGAAATTTCTGTATAATTTTGCTACTAAAATTGCATTGTCATGTACCAGGAAATCAAATGTTTTGAAAGTTTTGCAGGTGCTAGAAAATCAAGTACAAAACCCATTCTCACCCTTCTTAAATGAAGTACAATAAAAATTCAACTTTATACATATGCAAATAATCTAATTCATATTCTTACCAACTTTCTAACATGTGAATCAGAAAGCTTACATGCATTTTCGTTTTAATTCAGTCTTTTCAACTGCTCAAATGCCCAACTACATGTATGAATAGAAACTTGCATTGACTGTTAACATCGGGTATAATTGCAGCATGGTGCTTAACCAAAACGGTTTTGCTTGGTTTTTCATACGGGGGTTTTGAAAATAAGAAGACTGCACTGTGTTTAAGGTACATAAAATTTAGGTTAATGCATGTATATACATGTATTTATGTATATACAAGTTCATGTGCATTGTACACGTACACTTTAATTATGCAGAAATTTAATTACATACAGACAGACATATCACGTTACATCTAATAAACTGTCAACAAATAGTCTTTTTTTCTTTTCTGTATAAAAAGCACCGAAATTCTCTCTCTCTCTCTCTCTCTCTCTCTCTCTCTGTTTGAAAGATTAAAGGTCATAATGTTGTACGCTTGAGGTCACAATCCATCTCCGTGGAAACAACCACACCTTTTGTCCATTCGGAACTCTCTACTGGTACCGGGCTTAAGTTTGGTCGTGCCGCTAAAATATACAGACTTAGTTCCAGCAAGTAATCCTGCCATGATACACTCCTGAAAATTAAAAAAAAACAAGAGAAATTTTAATTCAACAGAAAAAAACAACAACAAAGCTTTTGTCTCGAAAGTTTGCAGGAAACACCTAAAACAAAATTACTTAACAAAGTCTTTCTCTTTTGCAATGGAAAACAATTTCAACCCGTTAACTTCTTATGTAGCACATTCATTATTTTTCTTTACAGTGTAATTAGAAGTAATATGTTCAATATTTTAGATTATTTTAATATTTAACATCACCGAAAAACTTACTTGGGACCGTTGGGTTCACAGTCCATTGTAAACGACAAACTTTCATTCAAAACAAAAGACAATTCCTCGTCCTTTTTTGACAATACGGCAAATCTAAAGAAGAAATCATAACACTAATCAAATTATAAAATGAAAATATTTATATATTTATGTAACTTCTCCTTGTCGCTATGCAAATAAGCAACTTGGACATTATTACATGTATTTGTAATGAAACGGTTTCTATATAATGGTTTATATTAATGGGTACCTAACGCAGACCTTGGAGCTATGATACACACATCTTTTCTATGTTGCGGACTAGGGAGGATACTGTTATAAAGACGTACCCGTTAAGTGTGTCGTCACATTCTATAAATAGAGTATAGAAAGCAGCAATGGTTTTCTTGGCATTGAATTCGGTGATGTTTCCTTCGCAACCGTCGTCATAAACGCGGAACAATCGCCGGGCGATTTCTATTTCCCTTGGTGACAGCAGGTGGACAATGGAATTCTGAAAGAATTACATGTAGATATTAACAATCAATCAAAGGGTCCGAAATATTAGGTCATAAATCAATATAGAAAACGTCTACTTGGGGAGTCTATTCTTTGATGATCGAAACAATTAAACATAAACATGTGTAAAATCAAGCGGCAATGCATGCAATGTAAATACTAGTTATTTACTCAGTTTACCTTATTCCGCTTTTTCAGAATACGGATTGACTCAAAGTTGATAAATTCCCACCACGTGATCGATCCGGTATTGTCCTTGTCAATCCGATGAAAGCGGGCTAAATCTTCTTGTAGGGCATCCTTTGGTACCTCTCCGCCATCTTGGTCGCCATAGCAACGCTTTCGATATTCCATAAAGTCCTCCAAACCTATACTGGAATCTGTGATATAGTCTGGTATGGTTTATATTGCTAAGTGTATTTTTTTTATAACTATCCCCCCCCCCCTCCCCAAAAATATCATATCTATGTACATTGTAATAAACATTATCTCAAACTGTGTCTGATCGAAAAAGTCTTTTTACGTTGATGTATGTAACCCGTATTTTCTCTTTAATAAAAGAAACAAACGTTCAATTTTTAAAATTCGAAATTGCCATTTACAAAAGTTTATGTCTTTTTAATGCATGAAGGATGTCCAAAATAAAGAGCCGGAAAAATATTTTCCCCTGTCATTTCCTGATTTAAGCTATCACCTACACGGAACATTAGGAATAAATCTTTGCAATACATTTCGTGACTTAAGTTCCTTGAACTCTGAATACACTGTACCTTGTGCCACTTCATAACGATCCAGAGAGGAAAACAGATTGTGTAGTTCTTCTTCCGTTAACAGACTGCTCAGATCGTCCTGAAAAATAAGGAAGTTCAATCATTTTGTTATACTTACAGACTGGAACCAAATGTAAACTTTGAATAGGCGGACTTTTGTTTTATGAAAAAAGGCTAGGAAATGATATATTTATGCTATCTTTAAAACAAAAAAATCAAAATGTAAAGGCAAGAAAGGAATTTTATTATCAAATCGGTACTAAACCAATAAAAGGACTCAAATTAAAAAAACAAACAAACAAAAAGTTGACTTAATTGCTAAATTTACATCAATTCAGAAATAAAAGAACAGGTTACAAGGAAAGCTTCACTGTCGGGTATATATATATCGTGGTTATTGTGTCCACAAACTCTATTAACTTTTTAACTGTATTTTAAATTTTTAGATTGTAGAACATTTTACTGACATTTGGAGTTTCAGGAGTTGCTGACAAAAAACAAACAAACAAACACCCCTCCCCCCAAAAAAAAAATAAAAAAAGGGGGAAAACTCTACGTACAAAAAAGATATGTACGTTATCGAAGAAAGCGTTGTTTGTACCAATTATAGTGTGACAGTTACTGTACATTCTTTCTAAGCTTTAATCTGATACAAAATGTACATGTATACGTCAATGTGTGAGTGTTCGATGTAGCGCGTGCACAAGCTTGTTACCTCTCATTGAAAATTCAAACTACTTATGAATCTATTATACAAAGACTCACGCAATTCTGACAACTCCAGCCCGTGGGTTTGAGGGCTTTCTTGAGGAGGACCGATGATGCCGGGTCATTACACTGACCTAGTTTTCGGAGACAACTTTCGTGGTACACTTTGTAGCAGATCCGACAAGGATAGGTTTCCCTTCCGGTATACACACTGCACACGTGACATAGTTCTTCCGGTTCAACCTGGAAAACAAGTAAACGATAAATAAAGAATTTACTGTTTAAAAAGTTATTCATTTTGAAATATAAGAAATAGATGTCTTAACAACAAAACAATTTCATTTTCAGTTCATTATTAGTCTTACTATGATAATGTTATCCGAAACTAATTTATCAGTTATCCTCGATTGGTAACATTAAAATCCATGAAAAGAATATATTAGCTGTTTGATGTACACATACAAGTATTTGGACCGGTGTCGGATGACTAAGTTATATAATTAAATCTTACTCGTATAAACGGTACTTGTGTTAATTTGTTCAAATTAAGACAGTCACTGTAAAAATATATTTTATGCTTTCATAATTAGCTCTAATGTAAATGTACTTGTACAGAAATATGAAGCAGGATACAGTAAGCTTAATCGTTTTTTTTCCCGAATATAATATTAAAATATTTGATAATTATTTTTGGAATTACGGTAATTGAAAGTTTTCTACTTGGCAAAGTAGATCATTCATAAATTTACATGAACTGATTGCTGAAATATTCCCAGGAATATTGTGTGAGAAAATCGAACTGCTGTAACAAGAAGTGATTTAAATCATGACTCAAAGAAAGAGGCTCTCTTAAAAATTGTCATGAATTTAAATACTGTACCTAGCATTGATTTCGTTTTCTCATCTACGCGTAATATCATGATGATATTTAATACTAGTATATGTAATGTTATTAAATGGATGTACAGTGTACATGATTCACTCAAGATGTAAAGAAACAGGCCCGTAAGAAGCAATTTCAGTTTGGGGGCACATTACCAAATTTTTTTTATCAGTTTTTTTTTTTTTTTTTTTTTTGGGGGGGGGGGGTACTATCAAGCATAAAAACTTAGACAAGCAAAAAAAAAAACTGTCATCAGACGTTATTGAGGGGGCACAGGGGCACAAGCATAAAGCAGCTATGTTTTCTACAGTATACTAAATATCGGAAAAATTATTGGGACACACCTCCCCCCCCCCCCCGGTTCCTACGGCGATGACAAATATTGCACACATTCTCCAGTTTTAATTGTAAGGCCTAAGTCAAGCAACTTTCTTTTACAGTAACAAGACAGATTCATAGACTGATGTTCTACAATCAACATCACCTATAAACTGACCATGACTTCTTGAAGCAGCCTTACAGCTCGGCTCAAAATAATGATTCTTCACAATTTGTTATATTGTAGCCTGACTAATTCTACAGTAATGTTACGATATATCTGATAAACTCAATCACCGGCCATCGTGTAATTGTTATTATTTGTTTATTCTATTATTTATCTTTTTTTTTTACCTCTAAAACCTCAATTACATTAAAAAAAAACGGCCTATAATAAAGTTTATAACCCGACTCCTCAAATCATGCATTTAATGGCCTGTACATTAGAGCTCATTTTTAAAATTACAAAATAAAACCGATCGCAGTCGAAATTGTGCCATGTTGTCCTGATTGAAGAAACATAGAATTAGTGACAGAAATAAAATATAGGTCGATTTGCAGGCAAGATTTACATTAGGTGTCGGCCTACAAAGAGTCATTCTAGATTGAAGTAGTCTCTGGGGCACTCCCATCAAGAAACAGTTATTGATTGGTTTGAATGATCTTTAAACTAGATAATATAGGAATATTATTGCCACTAAAAAATATCCTCACATAAAATGCATCGATTGATGAGAAATTCTTAAAATACCGGTTTCTTATCTATCATTTATTACATATAACAAGGGATTACAAGTAGGAAAAAATAATACATCAGCAACACTTTCCCCAGTCAATTACTTGGTACTTAAAGGTGATAAAATCAATAAAATTTTACAGGAAATGTTCAGATGTTTAACTATGCATTCTTTTTCGCAATTTATTTTATTTTCCTCCAATAAGTTGGTTTTGGTGAGAGAGTTTGCTCGGATAACGCAACTACATGTACTGTACATGTAAAAATTGTGAACAAAAGATGCAGCGAGAATCTCTAGAAGAGTCTTTCCCTAAAAATCTTTCGAACCTAGAATCAAGATTGAAAAAATGTTAACTGTTGGTCATATTATCAACAAAATGACACAATTTTTATTTGATGTTATTTTCAGGTTTGCAATTAAGTTTCGGTGTAACTGCAATTTTTTGCTCGTAAAGCAATAGCCGGATTTTGTCACAGTGTTCAACGGGACGTGCTGACCGAACGTTTAACTATACATGTATACACCGCCAAATAAGAATTTCGAGTAATGAATATAGTGCATACACTCAACTGTTGTTGACTTTTGAGACAACATAAACGTTAAAAGAACCCGAAAAAAGTAAATTGAGAATTAAAGAGAGTAAATTGAGAGTATTAATTGGGAATGTATTTTCTCCAATGTTTAATTCGGATCATGATAAAATGTGCCATAACTATAAATTTGATATTTTGTTTACAATGCAAGTTCCTAAATTCATTTCATTTTTTTTTTAATGTAAGATGCCATTGAAGCCTATTATTATTTTTCCTGTAAATTAAAATAGTCACTGCTGACTGTAAATGAGTCCGGCTCTTAGTACTATTGAACACTTTGATTTCGTTTGTCCTTATGCTGTCTGAAACTCTTGACAGAGGATGCAACGCCAATGGACATGAGTTATGACTTTTTAACCTCAGAGTGTTTCTGTCAGCTCTAAGCATCAAAGTACATCTGTCACATACACAGATTACGCGCCTCTCCTAATTAGCAAAATTAGTGGAATTTAGACTAAAATCCGAAACGGTATCTTTCGTCTCCGGGGAGAGTTATCGAGAGAAATGCCGATACACGCGTGCGCGAGATTTATTGTCTACTCATCTCGACACATCGATCAGATTTGGAATGCAGACTGAAATTGCAATGCTCAGCAGTTGTATCAAATGAATTTTTAATTTACACACTGACTTTTCTTCGTGCTTTGGATTTATTACGTGACTATTGATGTCACGTGAGTGCACTCATTTAAGCGTCACGTGGTCATAGTAATCGTCTGCAGCCTCGACCTCATTTTTGATTTCAAGCTTTGTAATTGGTATAGGCCGTACTATAATTATATTCTTCAAAGGTTAGTGGGGAGACAGGAGTTTTCCCTGTAATCTTACAATTTCGCCCTAAAAATTTTCTTTTGCGCCAAGTATTTTTCTGGTGGGCCTATTTAAAATTGGCAAGATATTATATATGACATTTAAGGTATTCGATGTAAGATTACAGGGAAAACTCCTGTCTCCCTCTTACAATAGAGGGATGTATTTGCTGCTTTCAACTTAATTTTTTAAAGAATGCTCTTTAAACGAGTTTTAAAAAAATAAGAACAAAAAATGAATTTAATGAAAAACTTGGACAAAATCATTAAATTAATATTCAGTGTTAATTGTAGGAGTTATATCCCCCTGAAAATTCTCTTGAAAATTCGGGGGGGGGGGGGGGGAATGCAAGGTGGTCTATGCATTTCAATTCATCAAATTGCATGTATATAGAACACTTTCCATTTTTCTTGACAAAAATACTTTTTTTCCAAATAAGTGTTTCTTTATTCCTGTTTATTTATGAAAAAAGATCTTGTCCATAGTATATAATGTTAAATTAATTAATTCGTATCTTTCTATTTGAGGTTCTATGGGGGAAAAAACCTTTTGTTAAAACTTCCGTTTTTACTTTGATCTATGGAACATTTTACACGTTGCTTAATTTTCACTCTTTGTTAAGGGGATAAGTTTTGCTGTTTATGCATCGGATACCTTGACATGTATCATGTACTATACTCAATCGCTAACTCTGTTTCATAAAATGTCATCATAAGTGGCGGATCGGATCCAGAAATTTTGAATTGGGGGGGGGGGGGACAAACAGTTGGGGTTTGGGCAGGGGGCAAAGCCCCCCGGAAGCTCTCAGGTTTTATGAGTTCTTTTGGAAATTTTTTTTTTTACTAATTATGGCTATATAAAGGCAATATCCAAATCCCCAAAAATGAATTATTATTAATCTTATGTACATGTATATTTTTGTTCACAAAAGGGGCGATTGATCATTTCCTTCAAATGATCCTGTTCAAAAAAATTATTCCAACCTTTAGTGCGTATCAGCAGCACTCAAGGTTTTTGTTTTTTGGAAGGAAAAATATAATCTTCTAGGAAGTGTGCAATGGGGAGGGGGTGGGGGTCTACCACAACTATAAATTTGATTTTGAAGAACCCCATGAGAATCTACATATAGCTATAGATAAAGCTAAGTCGATGCATTGTTCGTTCAGGAACTCTTTAAAATGACAAACGATCCTCTTTACGCATAATCCTTTCTCAGCCTTCCCTATGGAACAAAGAGATACTTTAAAAGTCTATTTTTTTTTTTACACTTGCGACGATTTTGAAACTCGGTTAGCAGTTTCTAATCTCGCGAGATTTCAAACAGACTGCGAACATCTATTATTTATTTCCACCACAAAGATTCTGCCAGAAATATCACAATTTTATGAAGAGCTTACATAATTGTAAGGGCTCCTTTAATTTTTTTTTTTTTGGTCTCCTATCCAAAAGAGTTCCTGTTACCAGAGTGAAAACTTAAAACGACTGATAAAATATACTAAAATCCATGATAGAGGGGAGAATAACATTTCCGGGGCCAGACATTTATCAAGATGTTTCCGGGCCTATAGAATTTCTACTTGTAATTTCTTTTTAACCTCATGCAAAATACTGCAATGACTCACTGCGAATAACTAGGTCATATTCATGTTACTTTCTATAATTATCTCAATTAACGTAATTAAGCTTATTATAGTCATTTCTTTCCCTGGTTCAAAATGACGAGATTTTTATTCCTTTTTTTCTAAACTAATTAGAAAATCTTTCCATCTTCTTTGTTCCCATCTTTAATTTCTAAAACAATTACATGCTGGAATCTTATTATCTGTACTCCATCGCAGATCACGTTGACATGGCCGATTGAAGAGAATTTCTATTGATTTATTGTTTGTATGAGCTTATGTTTGTAATTTTAACCACATTTGCACGGGAATGATCAACTCCCTCAGAAGTTTTTCAATGTCAAATACATTTTTTGTAACCCTGCTTTTCATAAATTTCTTCCCTAATTGCAAACATCTTCTGATATTTTTACATATGCTTAAATAATATATTTACATTTGTTGATATGATATGTTTACATATGCTGAAATATTATATATATTTAATGTATAACTATTGTATTTATTTTACGAAAGGAAGTTTTTATATGTATAAAACATGTAAATCATAAGGAAATATTTGGGTACATGTATCTTACAAATATGAAAAGTTTGCTGATTAATTTGAACAAATATACATTTGTGAATATTTCATTTAAGTAACTCTTTGGAATCAATTTGAAAATTAATTATGTATGTTATGTTGCAACACTTCCCACATCGATCCAAACGAAACGTTTTGAGTAAATTGAAAAAGAATCGCTGATGAGGTCTATATATCGTTCGATGAATTCGACCAGGATTAAAGATCAGTAAAATCTAAATAAAATGCGGTAATAAATATAACAACGTTGATTGAATGTCATAACAGTGTCTTCTGGGGGGTTGGCCATTTTTCTTTCTTAATCAACTGAGTCAATAGCACAGGTGTGCTTAACGAGGCTCAATTGGGGATTAGATCAATGTAACAAGTTAAAGTAACCCCCTGAGTAAACAGAAAAGTTAGGGGACTACCGTTCTCTTGTTTAACCAAGTAGGATTTACTTGTTTATTTGATTTCATATTGGTTTTTTTCTTATCGGTTAAAATTGGGACTGCTAAAATCAAGACTCTCTCTCTCTCTCTCTCTCTCATGAAATTAAATATGCAATTTATTATTTATTAAGGCACCTTTTATTCCAATATCGAGTAGTGTTGGGGATCTGAAAAAAAATCTGCTTTTCTTGTTTTTTTTTTCTTACGTAAATACTTGTGCCTTGAAATCTTATCTAGCAATCTTTAAATACACAAGTAATTTTCTTCCCTGCAGAATTTAAATTCGGTAATTTAGTCTAATGATAATTCGCACTAAAACTTGAGCACAACCCAGTGCAAAGAATGCGTCGATCTATGTTAAGAAATTTACATTCCTAACCTTCACTAGGGAAACGTTTTGCTTTTGCAAATATTAATGTGTAGGCTTAAATGAATACATATACATGTATAATTATAATATACATTTTCAATGCATAATCTCTTTTTTATGCTTGTACATACATGTAAAGTTCAAGCCTAGTTGCATGAAGTAGTTGAAGATGATTTTAAAGAATTAATTTTGCATTTCATATGACGAAATCTGATGAATCATTTTGTGTGCTTTTGTGTGCATTTGCACACTTTTTATAAATTCAAGAAATCAGGAAAATATAAAAAGTTTCCTCCGACAAAAAAACACTATATTTTTAATTACCAATAATTTGTGCAAATAACAAAATATCACAACAAACGAGTGCGCTTAGAGATATATATACTTCCTGTCGAAAGAGAAATGCAACATTTGTACTTATAATTTACCAGTGACACATATATACAGTGCATGATTATAACTATACTATACATAATTGAATAAACTCTACATGTAAATGAGAGGCGGATCCAAATTCTCAGTTTTCTCGATATGAACAAGGACCCACGACTATGGACAGTTTTAGACTTAATTAACTCGGAACTTGTCAAATGTCTTACAGTTTATAGCTATAGAAAACACATAAAATTTGAAATCGTTTTAAAAACTCCTATCTTTTCATTTTGATAATTTTTATTTTCGAGTGCTCCATCCCTAATAGCCTGAGATTCAATGAATGCGAATACATAACAGATGTGTACGGGTGGAATACTCAGTATATCTAGACATAATTCCCATTTATTACTATTAGCAATTAAGAATGGAACGTGTCTTAATTTATGACCTTGACCTTTGTTGAAGAGTTATCTCCCTCTTTTTTTAAGTAATAAAAATCAATTAAAAAAAATCTGTAGGGTAAAAAAAAATGTTTTCAATTGTCATTCAATTTCTAATGATTTAATGCATCTTTCCAACACAGTATTTACTGATATTCTTAATATTTGAATTTTTATTTAAAAAAAATCACTTGTCTCCATGGACTTCAATGCAATTTCTGTTGACTAGGATATAATTACTGCTTAGTTAATTACTCTTTTTCAAAACTTTCATTTGATAAATCCTTTTCTACTGTAAGATGCTTTGAATTAATATCAGAGTATTATATGCGTGATGGAGAATTACGTCCTATAAGGGATGGAAAACCTTAATAATAATATTCGGTTTATGAATGACCAGTCTGAAGTTTTGACTAAGTCCAAGACTGCTTCAGGATTCTGAAACCAGGCTCTAGATATTAAAATCAATATAAAATAATTTTTTTTTAACGTCATGATGGATATTAAACTTAAAAAAGAACTAGTTCAACCTCGAATTGGATCGTAAAGTTTTTATTTACTTTAAACATTGGCATCGTGTATAGACAGACATAATGAATTCATGAAAGATTTAAAAAGAAAGTTTTTCATTTGATTCGAAATAGATTGTAATTCTAAAATTATGCAGTGTTGAAATTGCACAGAATTTTTTTTTAAACTCAGATCTAAAGATTTAAATGGTAACCCCCCCCCCCTCCGAGACTAGTGTACTCTTGAAATCAAAGAATTAATTCATAAATGACTTTACACCGAAATCTAATTAGATTTATAGCCGTGAAAGAATACATTAAAACCGGTTATGCGTCATTGCAGAATTAAAAGTAAATTTAGAAGCATTTAGCTGGGCAAAATCAATTGAAATGGGTTTTAAAAGTGTTAATGTAATGGTTTTACGATTTGAACGACTACTGTTACTGTTAAAATTTTGTTGAAATTGCTGTCTCTCTCTTTCTCTCTCTCCAAAGTGTTTATAGAAACATTTTTAAGATATTTATATTACACACCAGCGGTTACATATATACATGTATCTACATCCAAACCCTTCAACAGAGGTTATATTTGGTCATTTTGTGCACTCAAATATAAAAATACGATCATTCGAACGAAAAAAGGGAAAGAAAAAAAGATATTTTCAAAATGAGTTTTTACTTGAAATCCTTAGCTCTACTGAGTTTCAATTAGCCCTGGAGTCTAGGCACATGGACTGAAATAGCAGCAAAATAGAATAAAGATTTGGAAGAAACAAATAAAAACCCAAACTTTTGCATATATAACAAGCTTGTATGTGTATTTCGCAAGGGAAAATTGAAGTGTTCAATGAGTGCAAATTTTGCCTTATGTGACCTTGGCCTTGAATGTGACCTTGAGTTATGTATGAAGTTTTGCATCCCAATGTTGTGAATATCTGATACATAGTATTACATACATGTATCAATTTGATCTGAAGACATGGGATAGAATGACTTTAATACAATGTACTTTGCTAACCTTTTCCACCAGAAAGTGACTGACTGACAACCAAACAAACAAACATGTCCCAAGGGGGCGAAATAATTACTCCTGATCGTTGATCAAAGTAAATTACCCCTCTACGGTAAAGGGATACAGGAGTTAAAAGTCTGCAGAGCTCGAGTCCATTATGCATTTCAAAATGCAGCTACATGTACGTATGTACATGTCATTAAATTGCGCATTTTAGGAGCATGACACAGTTTTTAAAAACTTTTTATCTAGTAAAGTGGGTCGTTTAAGGCGATGCACTTATATTGCATAATAATAGGCCTGACTGAAAGCATAAATCAAAATCTAGTTCTTAAGTAAATGACGTAGAATTTATTTTTAAAGTCGTTGTCCTTTTCCCTTAAAAAAAGAATTCAAACAGCTTATAAAATAAAATACCGACAGCTAGTGCAAATGTTCCTACTATTGCATGATAATGGACCCCTTTAGCATTTCATTTATAAAATGTTTAAGTTCTCTTTTTAACTCTTTTTTGTTATTACTTGTAGTTAATTTCATTAACAATTTTTGTGATCATCACCCTTTCTTGATTTACCAGGCTTTAAAATCTTCAACTTCTGTAGCTTTTACAAACATACCTTTTCATTCGAAACATATGGTATGGTAATTGGCACGTCATCATCCTTTTCTAGAGTTCGCTTTCTAACCACTTTGTTAAAGTCACTGAGTCTAAGAGCGGATCTAGCTTCTAACTCAGTTTTAGAAATAGTCCGCTCCTTGACCCTCATCCAGTGAGATCTGGACCCCCTGTCTGATGACGTCATATCTTTCGCCTTCTCCCTCATGGCGACGTCGTTGCTTTTCTTAGGATTCTTCTGCCGCCTGTGACGTTTACCTGCGTCTTCAAACGCATTAACGGCCTGGACTTTTCGTCGAACTTGACCATGGCGGGATACGCCTGCACCCATGTTTTATATGTTATGCTTTTCTTTGTTAACTCACATCCGATGTTTCTAATTCTATTGAAAAATTCCTGCGCTCTCTCCCTGCAATAAGGCTTCAATAATCAGAACTTGCTATCCCCGTACAATGATTTGCCACCTTTGTATAGTGTTGTATAGTGTTAATGACTCCCCATGGACAACAAGCGATTGATCCCTCCGAACCACGTGGACTGTTTACATGGTTCTCTCTAGAACCGGGGATTTCCAATTCAAAAGCAATTGATCTAATCGGATTCAACAGTGCTACAATATTTTTTTTTTTCTGTTCAACGTCTCAAACACGACACACGTTAACTCTCCCTACACGCGCGCTTCGTCAATTCATTAAAACTTCCTTATGCCTTATGTCCTAGGAAAAAAAAGGTCCCTCTCTTGTATTTTTGTGTCATCAATTAAATATTTCCGGAGAGGCATTGCAATACTTGAAATTTAATCCAGGCATAAAAACAAACAATTAACTGTGCATTATTAATGTGTCACACTGCACAAACTCCTGGGAATCTCACGTGTTCGCAGGTCGTAATCAGCGAAAAATTTACCACGAAAAAGGAATAAAAGTCGCATTCATGGCTAACACACACACAAATAAAGGCTTGAAGATGTCGGCATTAGGAGAATATGTATTTTATGGCCGCCGCTTTCCTCCTGTGACAAGATTCTAAATAAATCTCCTCGAGTCAATGACGGTGGGATTTAACTGTAGAGTAGCGCCAACCATGGGTTAAGACATCATGCTTCAAAGGGGAACTTAATTGATTAAAGGACAAATGTGTCGGATTGGAGTTTTTTTTTCTTTTTTCCTTTTTTTAAAGCCACCTTCAACTATTTGCATAGATATCACGAACAGGAAATATTTCAATACAATGTTAATGAGAGAGTGAAACTTGAGCTTTTAAACTGAAGCAATTTTTTTTCTCTTCATAAACATGAGCAAGGACGTAAAAGAAAAGAATGTTTGATAATAATGGCTACCCCCTGGGCGATATGCGAGTTTCTTATTATACTGCGACAAGATGCACCAAAAATTAGCAAAAACATTCGAGGATTCGATGCAGAACACGGCAGGGGATATTTAACTAGAAATTGAGCTTGGTTAGGGAGAAATTGTTTAATGTGTTTTGCTGCGATATAAATAGGCCTGCAGGAAAATAATTGGAGATAGAAAACTAATAATATGGTACATTGCTGATAAATATTTATAGTGAATTTGATGCAAAAAACATGCAGTATTTCAGAAATTCAATTTAGACATAGATTATTCATGAGGAATTGTCCAAAATTGTTTCCGTAGATTGATATTGATATCATATTACTGTGCACAGAATATCTAATGAAAACTGGGATTTCAATGAAGAAAAATATTAGAAAATTTATTGCTTATTGCCTTTCTCCCACCCCACCCTCTCTTCTTCCCTACCCTCTCTCCTATCGGTTCAGCCTCTTTTAACCACGTGCACCCTACCTTCTCTCCCACCCCAAGCTCTCTCCAACCCTTCCCTCTTTGCCATTCCAGCCTCTCTACCACCTTATCCTCTTTCTCTCCCCCACCTTTCCTTCTCTCCCACCCAAGTCCCTCTTCCATCCTACCCTCTCTTTCTCCAGACCCTCTTTCCCACCAGCCCAGCCTCTCTCTCAACCTACCTTCTCTCTCTCTCTCTCTCTCTCTCTCTCTCTCTCTCTCTCTCTCTCTCTGCCACCCCCATCCTCTCTCTCTCCCTATACCCTGTCTCCCTCCTTACCCTCTTCCGTATTAGCCCAGTCTCTTACAACCACCCTACCTTCTCTCCCACCCAGGCCTTTCTCCCATACTACCCTTTCTCCCACCCTTGCTCCTCACAACCGCCCTACCAAATTTCCAACCATGTCTTCTCTTTCTCACCCAACCCTTCTACACTAGACAAAATTGCTAACGCACCACCTAAATAAATTTTTCTTTTCAAAACTTGTTTATGATGTTTTTGATATATAATTATGTTACTTTAATAAAAAATGAGACATTTAAATGCTTTAACTGATAAATAGCAACAATGTTTACTGAAGCGTAACCACTTCATAGAAAAAATTAAAATCATATCCATACTTTTTTGGTGGAATACCGTATTCGGCGTTTGACTCTAGAAGAGCGTGCTAAGGCAGCCAGTATGGTGTCTTAGGGGGTTCCTTTGAAGAAATTTGTGAAAAATTAAAAGAATCAAATGATTATGGATTTCTCTGGTGAAAAATTGTTGAAAATGAATTAACGATCACAAAATTGTTTACAAAAGATATCGACGGCATTAAGTGAGCACCACACAATAATTTCAAAATTGTTCCACAAAATTGGGGCAACCGGAAGTTGGGTAAATTTGGTAGGGACACCAAGGCACTGGATGACTACTAAGCGATATGGTATTCAATCAGGGTATATCATTTGATTTTTAAGTGGGAGACTGCTCCCGTAGCAACGTCACGGACCACCACCGGTAATCACCAACTTCATATCTTGGCAAAAACGGTGCGCAGTGCACGTCGGGGAATTGATTTTCGGACAAGAAGGTCCTTTAAGGGTCTTGACATGACACCAAGACATTTGTCAATCCAACTGTTTTGGAAAAGATGGCATATTTTATATACTAGTACCAATCAGGAAAATGACCAATTCACAAACAAGCATTCTGAGAGTATTGCATTAGCAATACTAGTCCCCTACCGGCAAGTGTAATCTGGTTCCCGTTAAGAATTCAAAATGCCATAATTCAGTCAAAAATCAATGAAGCAAAATGAAATGCAAACTTGATCTATAACTAATCAAGGTAAAGTCACATACCAAAAATCAGCTCAATATCTGAAAACCTTTAGAAGAAAATTGCGGAAAACCCCTAAAAATTGAAAAGGCCGTAATTTCGTCAAAAATCAATGAAGCGGAACGAAATGCAAACTTGATCTGTAACTCATCAAGATACACTCACATACCAAAAATCAGCTCAATATCTGCAAGCGTTTAGGAAAAAAATGCGGAAAACCAAGTGGGACAGACTGACAGACAGAAAGAGGGACAGACAGACAGACAGACAGACGGACAGACAGACGGACAGACAGACAGACAGACAGACGGACAGACAGACTCAGTGGATACCTATAGACCCCTCCGGTTTCACCGGTAGGGGACTAATAAGAATAATAAGTGGTGCGTTAGCAATTTTGTCTAGTGTATTCTAAAGACAAAAAATTTCAACCGAAGGTTAAGTGCTTTTATTGAGAGGGGGATGGATTTCAAAATGACAGGGGGAAGGGGTGGGAAGTAAATACAAAATTTACAAAAAAAAAACCCAACTTGCTGATCACTACATGTTCGCTATATTCACCTTTTACACTGTCATATTGTATATTTGTATTCACTATAGCTACCACCCGGTCAATTCTAAATGTACGATATGACAGTGGTGCTAAATCTGCGCTGTTTGACAACAGTTGTTCGGATTTTATCTGTACAATTTCTATATCCCGTCACGGTTCTAGCCTCATCCTCCCTTTCCTATTAGGAGCTAATAAGGTTTCACGTTTTTTGGAAACCTTGGTTTGTAAGAATTCTTAAACTCTGACAAAAAATATGATGAATTTATGCCAAAGGTATTCTATTCTCCTTTGTAATATAATATATGACGGAACAGAGAGAGAGAGAGAGAGAGAGAGATTTTAAAAGTTGCAATGATTTGTGAGGTCCATAAGTACATGTACATGTATAACTACTCGATCACACAAGTGTTTATATTTTTTTGTGGATTTGTACTTACATTTAAATATAAGTGCATACATCTAATGTGTCCTCATCCTATTTCCTATGTAGCATTTATACTTATCTGCTAAATTACTCATCTCAGGACACAACGTACGAACTCATTAAACAAGACTGGAGGCGATCTTTCCCCAACATAACACATAATAATTATAACGAATTTTTATCAATACTCCATGATAAAATTGAAATAAACATGTGTCAAACATTTCAATAGAATATCCCAATAATCCGCCAGGTGAACAATATGTGTAGTAATCTCCTTGAATTTTCATATTATATTCAATCACAAATATTTTTTTCCCAAAATAAGGATTATATGTCTATTTTATTTATCTTTGTCAGGGGTGGATCCAGAAAATATTTGACAAGTAAAAAAATAATGAAATAAATAAATAAATAAAAACTAAAAAAAAAAAACAAAACAAAACAAAACAAAACAAAACAATAACCCCCCCCCCCCGTAAAGTCCATTTCCAAACCTAAAAATCAGTAACCTATTTCGTGGTGGTGGTGTTTTCTGGGGGGGGGGGGGGGCAAAGTTTGTTGTTTTTTTTTTTTTTTTGTTTTTTTTTTTTTTTTGTTTTTTACTTCTTTCAGTATTATGTATGATTAATCTTTTCAATTTTTTTTTTTCATAAATATTTTTTAGAGAGATAATTTGGATATTATTTTCTGTTAACCCCCCCCCCCCCCCAAGCAGAAACTTGATAATGTATTGTTTAAGTTAGAGCCCTAAAGCACACGTGATAGGTCTGAAAATTGCATACATTCAAATGACTTCATGGGCCTTTTCAAATTTAATTAAGAATTCCACATTACTATGAAACATAATTATATCAATGTATATCTTAAACTTAATTATTTTTTTTCTGGAATAATATATGAAAATTTTGATTCTATTCTATCTATATAATATTAATTTAAAAGAAATTGGGTAACAACATGTAATTTAATACACGGTTCTAGATAGACTTATTATTGCTACAACAATTTTCTTACTACGCGATGATTTTTGGGATTTATTTACATGCATTTTATTCACAGACGCAAAAATCAAGATTTTCAAGTTAATCAGTCACATGAACATGACTCGCATATTGATTTGGCCAATTTTTGGTGTCAAAAGAGTCTGGACGGCTCTATAAAAGATGTGCTAAGACACGAACACGCGTTTAAATAAGTGCTTACGTTACACGTATCATGTGCCATATGCGCACTATCCAAAGTCAATGAACCCACACTTCTTACACCCCCCCCCCTTCACCACCACTACTACTATCAAGCATTGAAGTTAACTTCATTTTCCTTAATTGTTTTTCCGTAAAGCAATGTAAAAAATCAGTGGATGTCCTTTATATTTTGATGAGTCTTGAATCATTTTTATTCTCTCAGTATTTATTTTTCATGTTTTAAATTATTTATCCATTTATTTTTAAAATGTAGAGTGCAAACTTAACCGTTAAATTTTTATACAGTGAATAATTTTGGCATAAGACACACACTTTATTTTAGAATATATTAACGTTGTATAATTGTGACGTTTTATTACATGCACATAAATCGATTAATTGTCATTTGATCCGCCCTTTCAATTAACGAAAGTGAAAGTATTGACAGGTGTCGCTGTAATCGGGCACCGGTTTGTTTACATCACCAGGGCCACCGCTTTCACCCAGCGCATGTCGCTGTTTGCTCTTTTTGTTTACATTTTGATTTAGTACATTAAGCTTTAAAATGTAACTTCCTTTACAAAGAATCTAACGGAAACATTATATAATTAGCATAATAATGTTGCATTTGACGACTGAAATCGGAAAGGTCGGCAGGAAAGGTAAGGGATGTTAACAATAGTGTGTATGTCGCCCGGATTTCCTCGGGTTCTATCAAAGCTATGTCGGTATAACCACATCAATAGGAATTTTTATAATAGAGCATATTTATATACACATAGATGTGGCAGTGCTCCTATTAATCGACAACCGTTTATTTTTTTATGATTATGCATGTATATAAAATTATACGTGATGGGGTGACCCTGGGAATATTAAAGGAAGCTCTAAACACTAATGAAAAATGTTTTTTGGACTTTAAGAAAATTCTTTCTTGATGAAGTGTACATAATGAGTTTATCTAGCCCATTTTCAACATAGGGTACCTACCATTTTTTTTTCAGGGAAAATGTTCAAGGGCAATGAAGTATTAGTGAACATATGCAGAAATCACTGTTGTTTACTTATATGTTGGTAAAATACATGCAATAAATGTACAGTGTATATACATGTACATGTAATGTTAGTTACAAATACTTTTATTCGTTCCGTCATTCAAATATTCTATCTTTCAACTAAGGTCGTCAGTTCACTCTAACTGCATAAAACTACCATGAAATAAGAACTCTTTAGTTAGCAGTGTTTAGGGCTTCCTTAAGGGTTAGATCTTACATGTATGTAATGTAGACTATTCCCGTCGACCGTGTCCACCTATCTTACTATTGAAATTGTCGAGTTTCTGTTTTGCTGCTAATTCAAGATTATGTATACAGAATATAATAGGTGTCCGTTGTGTTGGACACTAAATTACACTCTATTTTTTATTGACATTTCCAGAATCTTATTCAAATATTTAAAAAAAAATTGAGTGATAATCATATATATCATATATATCGTATAAATTGTATAATCACATTCTCTTTGTAAAAGATTGATAAAACACATAGACCTATCAATTATTAAATTCATTAAATTCAAATAATAAAAAAATAAATACATGATAAAAATTACTGGATAGAAGTAGAAAAATTTAAAATAAATTCATTTCAAATGTTCCTTTCACCATTTAGTTTCTATTATAATGTAAATGTATAGCTGAACACGATTTGTAAAAGGAATGTGTCCGCCATATTCGATGGTTTCTCGCTATATCAGAGGGCCCCTATATAAAGCCGCTGACTTGGTCACTGTTCAGTGTAATCCATCGTCACCGATGTAGACGGACGTATGCTTTACAGCACTTGGTAGCGACAAAATATAACCGCATGTGTACTTCTTATGCAGGAGAGTAAGATACCAAAGAAACTTACAAAAGTTGCACAGGTCAGTGCAGTATACAAACAAACACTTGTAAATACACGTAACTGCAATAAAATGTAAACAAAGGTAATGCAAGATAACCAGCACGAACACGGGTGGTCATTCCTCGCCGATACCCGTGACAATAAAGCACTCAGGTGTAACGAATGCGAAGAGTATACCCAGGTGCTGAAATCGTAGATAGTAATATCGAAAATGGCGTATGCCTATTTACGAGTCGTGTTCAGCTTTAAACAAGGTATTTTTCTGATCATTTTTCATTGCGTGGACCCTGAGGTCCACGCAGAAAATATATATTAAGCGGGGTTAAAGCGGATGCCATGGGCTTACAACAGGCTACTCATGCTAGGGTAGAGTTCGCCTCTAAGATAACTTGCCCGTAGAACAATTCGCCCTTTTCGAATTAGAATATGCCAACCATTGGCAAACATTGCTATAAAATCTTCGCATCTTATTTATGTATTCTTTGGCGTAACCAAGATCCTAATTTCTCTTATATACATATATCCTTATGTACAAACTAAATTCTATGGTACAATTAAGCATTTTAAATAAGTAGGAAGAACTTAATATATAGATAGTTTAAAAGCTTGAAGTTTTTCTCTGTAGAAATTTGACCCCCCCCCCCCCCAGCTCAATATTCTACGTAGAAAAATAACCCACGTTTTCGTAGAAATTATGGCCTTTGGGTCATTTTTCTCCGTGTGGATTGTAGAAAAATGACACCGTAGAATAACGACCCTCTGTCATTTTTTGATAAAATTAAAAAGTATAACTATACTTTTAAATTACATAAATAATACAAGATGGTTTTTCCCAAAGGAAAACATAACAAGGCTATAATGATGTTCTTTGACTATAAGAAAAAGAATACGTGCTTTCTATGATTTGTTTTATTACATTAAGGTTTTCCATCCCTAATAGGACCAAATTCTCTATCCTTAAATGTTCATCATGTACATAATACTTTGATATTAATTTAAAGCATTTTATAGTACAAAAGGGTTTACCAAGAGAAAGTTTCAAAAATGTAATTTACTAAGCAGTAATTAATTAACAAATTGCTTTGAAGTCTATGGGGACGAGTTTTTTTTTTTTTAAATTCAAATAATAATAATAATAATATCAATAAATATTGTGGTAGAAAGATGCATTATACATTAGAAATAGAATGACAATTAAAAACGTTTTTTTTTTTACCAGATAAGTTTTTAAGATTATTTTTTTATAATTTAAAAACAGAGGGAGATAACTCTTACCAAAATTCAAGATCATGAATTAGGACACATCCCACCCTTCCATGCTTATAGTAATAAATGGGAATTGTGTCTAAATATACTGAGTATTCAACACCTACACATCTGATATGTATTCAATTTCATTGAATCTGTTGCTATTAGGGATGGAATACCTTAATAATAATAATACCTTAAAAATTTTCAGTTTCCACAGTTTTAATTATCTAAATGTGCAAAAAAAAATCAAAATAGTCTTCTTTCTTCTTCATAAGTTATAAGAAAGATTAAAACTCTTCCCAATTAAATTTGCTTTAAAAAGGGCGATTGTTATGAAAATTTCATCTCATAATTATCTTTCAATTTCTATGAATTGAGTCTCAAACTTTTTCTCATGAAAATGTAGGGAAGATTAAATATGTGAAAAAAATATCACACAGGCCTGAATCAATATGCCTCTGACCTTTGATATCAGGGGCACAAAACGTGATTAGCTTAAAATCTTTACCAGTATCTTTTGTTGTTTGCTAGTGTCAACAAAGCCTTCACAAAATGAGGCTTTTTACATAAAAAAGGGGTGTTTAACACAAGTCTATGCACAGTATCACATTATCATCTTTCCCTCTCCCCACTTTCTCTCTCCCCTTCCTCTCCCTCCCCACCTCTCTCTCTCTCTCTCCCAACTTCCTCTCTTTCTTACTCCTCTCCCGCCCCACCTTTCTCTCTCCCACCCCACTTCCTCTCTCTTTCTCCCTCCCCACCTTTCTCTCCCTCCCCACTTCCTCTCCCTCCCACTCCACCCCCTTCCTCTCTCTCCCCACTTTCTCTCCCTCCACACTTCCGCTCTCTCCCCACATCCACTCTCTCCCCACTTCCTCTCTCTCTCCACTTTCTCTCCCCACTTCCCCCTCTCTCCCTCCCCACTTTCTCTCTCCCCATGGCCACTTCCTCCCTCTCTCTCTCCATTTCTCTCTATCTCTCTCATCTCCCCACTATCTCCCTCTCTCTTTATTTTTTTTTGACCGTCTGACTCATTTATTTTTAAGCCTTATGTAAAAAAAAAAACAACATATATATGTATAATGCATAGATGTTTCAAAATTATTTACAATAGAATCAATGGAAAAAATACTTATTCCAGAATAAAGACAAAATTCGTAAGTTATTATAAAAGAAATTATAAAATGTTTATTCTTGATCTTTTTACTTTAAATTGGTTTTGGCAAATTTATTTATTTTTGCAAAAAAAAAATGAATGTAATTTAAACTTGTAAGGGCGATAACTTCAAACAACAGAAAATACTGCTTCCCAGTTCACAATTTGTTCATTGCGTTATATGTTTGAGCATTTAATTTTATATGATTGGAAAACAATATTTATATGCTTACTAACATACAAGGAACACATGTCAGCTTAAAATCTAAGTTGGATATTATTTGTTGTGCCGTTATGAAAAATAGATAGCTAATGCCCTAAATTATCCACATGCAGAGAGGAGGTCTATAAATATCCTTTATTTGATCTAGTATGTAATAAGGGTTTGGTATTCACTATCCTTTTCCCTTGTATGCTTTCATTTTTCTATATTTTCATAATTTTTATCTTGTTCAGACATCATGTCGTTGCTTTCAATGTTAACCAAAATGCATTGCATCATGACTCACTCGTTGTTCTACGCATTACCTGGCATTTCATATTTTCTTATTGCATATTTAAACGTTCGTTTGGTGTTTGTTCAAATACATACTCTTAATAAAAGTATGTATAATCTTTACTTGTTGCATGGTTCTACTCTGCTGACCATAGATTTCTACAAAAGGGTTTTGAATGGACAGTGTTAAATGATTAACCGTTGGGCTATCAACGTAATTATTTTGAGTAAATGTTCACCTTATTACAGGTCCTTGCAAAGCTTCTGGGAAAATTAAAATCATTCACTTAAGTATTAGAGCCATTCAATAAAAAAAGAAAGTCAAGCAAATTGTGGGCTTAAAAAATTGTTCAAAAGTTGCCTCTTTCGCGCATAGGCACCCTCCTCAATCTACATGTACTGTACATAACATTATGAGATAAAGTTTATAAATTTTAAGACACTGAAATAAGCATTTAATTCTAAGTCTGAAGGAAGAATTTAAGAAGGGATGCCACGCCAAAATTTTTTTTCATAGGTCTTTAAGACATCCCCTTTAAACTATGGTTTCAGCATTTAAAGGCCGATATTAGCTTTAAATTATTTTATAAATTTTTTTCCTCAATTTTTCATAGAAAATGAAAAAAAAGAAAGATTTTATTTGCAAATAAGATGTTTTAGAGGTAAAAATTTGCTATTAATAAATGCAGAAAGTGAATATCTAATAAAATATATAAACAAAAGCAAGCTGGACATTTTATTATTTTTTTTTTTTTACTAAAAAATTATCTATGAAAATAAAACACAGTATTTATGAATATTTTCGAAACCTATGGATAATGTAAAAAAAAAAAAAAAAAAAAAAAAAAAAACAAGTCACAGCTACAATGAATATGCTAGACAATCATATTTTAAAAAGAAACTAAAATGGAAATGCTAGTTTTTAGAATTTTTTTTTTTATTTTGGCTAATTCCGATCAAAATTTAAATTGATCCCAACCAGAATTTTATAATAATTGGAAATAGATAACATTTTCAAAAGAATACTAGTTTGTTTAGGTGTAATACGGATTAAAAGGTAATTGAACTTGACAATCAAATAGATTTCTTAGAGGTAAATACATAAAGCGGACGATAATTATAATTTTATAAGTCCCCTACCGGTGAAACCGAAGGGGACTATAGGCTTCCTCTGAGTCCGTCCGTCCGTCTAGCTGTCCGTCTGTCTGTCCGTCTGTCCTTCTGTCTGTCTGTCAGCCTGTCCCACTTGGTTTTCCGCACTTTTCTTCTAAACGCTTGCAGATATTGAGCTCATTTTTGGTATGTGAGTGTATCATGATGAGTTACAGATCAAGTTTGCATTTCGTTCCACTTAAATGATTTTTGACGGAATTACGACCTTTTCAATTTTTCAGGGTTTTCCGCATAATTTTTTCTAAACGCTTGCAGATATTGAGCTGATTTTTGGTTTGTTACTTTATCTTGATGAGTTATAGATCAAGTTTGCATTTCGTTCCGCTTCAACGATATCTGACGGAATTATGGCATTTTCAATTTTTAACGGGAACCAGATTACACTTGCCGGTAGGGGACTAGTATTGCTAATGCAATACTCTCAGAATGCTTGTTTATTTTGTGTTAATTTTGATCGGGGTCAGTTTCATTTTGATTGGAATTGATCCAAATAGTAAAATAATTATTTTCCCTTAAATTTAGCAATTTCATTTCAATTCTTTTTAAAATATGATTGACTAATAATATATTCTCCCTAGTTGTGACTAGTTTTATGAAGATTTTATCCATAGGTACAAAAAATATTTACAAATTATGTGTTTTATATTCATATAATAGTGCTCGAGTACAGGGTCAGTTTTTTGAAAAGGGGGGTCTAGGTCACACTGCAGGCACTTCAAGCCCGTAGCAACGGTTTTCAAAGGGGGCAACCTCCAAAATGAGTTTACAAGCAAAAAAATTAATTAATTAAAAAACAAAATAAAAACAAGCATACTGAGAGTATTACATTCCCTTACCGTCAAGTGTAATCTGGTTCCCGTTAAAATTTGAAAGTGCCATAATTCCGTCAGATATCGTTGAAGAGGAACGAAATGCAAATTTGGTCTATAACTCATCAAGGTAAAGTCACATACAAAAAATCAGCTCAATATCTGCAAGCGTTTAGAAAATAATTGTGGAAAATCTTAAAATTGAAAAGGTCGTAATTCCGTCAAAAATCATTGAAGCGGAACGAAATGCAAACTTGATCTGTAACTCATCAAGATACACTCACATACCAAAAATCAGCTCAATATCTGCAAGCGGTTAGAAAAAAAAAGTTTAGGAAAACCACGTGGAGCAGACTGACAGACAGACAGAGGGACAGACAGACAGACACCTAGATAGCCAGACAGACAGACGGACAGACTCAAAGGAAACCTATACCAATCCCCTCTGGTTTCACCGGTAGGGGACTAATAACAACCTGTGCACCACACTGTTAAATCCTATTACGGGGGAAGAGGGGGGGGGGGCTTCGTCTAACTTTTTGGTACATTTTGATTTCTTTTAAATGTTTAATTTTCCGAATTTTAAACCTTCCCGCAACAAAAAGTGCGGGGGAGCTTCCAATGCAAATTAAAACTTATATATTCAAATTATAACAAAAGATTATTTTTTATAGAAAAAGTGAGCCCCCCTCCCCCACATACTACGGAGACATTTTGAATCTTTCTCTTTATTGATTAAAATATCCCCATAATATAAGGAGAGAAATATTCTCTTATGCATACTCCCTTTCATGACTATTTACGCATACTTCTTAAAGAATGGCATAGCCTTACGTTCGCCGGAATCTTCCGATGATATCAAAGTGAAATCTTTTATGTTACGTGTGGGTGATCGAGGCCCGGGACCAGAGTTGTGAAGGTACACGGAGGAAAGCAATAAGCAAAATTCTATCTATAGAGCAGAAAGGGTAGAGATTGAAGTACTTATTTTATTGAAAATACTAGACGTAAAATATTTATATTACAGAAAAAAACATTCTCTCTCTCTCTTCCTCTTTCTGCAAAAACAAAGGGGGTTCCAACGCCCGGACCCTCCCTCCCCCTGGACCTGCCAATGGAGTTAAAATTCAACTATTTAGATACCTGCACGCTTAAGCCTCTTATAATTCTGTTGTTGATTTTAAAGGCTACATTACAATTGTGATAGATACCTAGATCAACATTTCATATTCATATCATTTCAAGGTCATGATTTTTTTTATCATTACAGCCTATTTAAGCAGACTTAAATAACGATGAAAATTACAAGATACATGTAAAAACAAATTTATTTGACCTTTGTATAGTCACTAAATCTAGAAATTTAATTTCTTTGAATTTCGTTTAGAAACACATGCCTATGGTCCACATATTGCGGTCCTTTTTTAAAGGACAGCAACTTGTTTTTTTTTCTACTTTTGTCTCATCTTCCTCAAATTGTCTAATTACAAATCGTACTAAACTGATTTTCTTTTAGGTTCAAAATCAAGACATATTAGATGCTTTTCTTATTATAATTTGTACAAATATATAAAAGTAATAAACCATAGATCTACATAATTTTTTTTTCTTATTTGCATATTCAGAGAGGGAGAGAAAACATTTCCCAGATATCCACAACAACTGCAGCCTACCGTCTTACAAGCCCCATGGCCGTAGATACATCCCTCACGGTTACGGATTTTATGAGGACTGGATGCCCCATAACCAGAATATCAACATCAGATATACTGAGTAAGTCTAGTACAGAAAATGCTGATGACATTTCCTCTGAATTGGAGCTAAAGTCTCTGCTAATAATTTTCTTTCATAGTTTTGTTGTTGTTGTTGTTGTTTTGTATCATGTGTTTGTCATGATGTACATTGTACCAAATTGCATTTTCCTACTATTTTTAAGTCTTCCAAAGGCGATTGAGAATAGAGACACCTTAATGTTTATTTCTTAAACAAAACACATCTAAGCAGATCAGCAGCTTGAAAATATTTCTTTCTGTATTTAAATATGGTATACATTCACCTATAGATGCGTTTATTGGGGCATCGTTTGAATTTCAAATGACCTGATTTTGCAGGAATGGACCGGACTGGAAGTCGAAGCTAAAATACATTCCTGATCCAGAAAATCCTAAATATCCGGCAGCAGAAATCTTTGAGAACAACTGGAAAGCTATGAGGCCGTATCCTTGTAAGTCAGCTGGAGTTATCTTACCTAGAAAACAATTTAAATCTAGCTAAAGTATTTTTTTCATCAATTGAATATTATTTGAATTTATTTTATAATTAATTAATATTACTTGTTTTTAAACAAACACAAGTTAAAAAAATGTATTAAGTTATTTATTTAAAAAAAACGAATGGGGGAGGAAGAAGCATTTTCAATTATTTTATTATATCCCATTCATGATTTATTGTAACTGAAAATGAACTTAGTTGCTTCTTAGAAAGATAAGAAATACATGTAATGATGATTATTATTATTATTTTTTTTTTTTTTGTCTGACTTCATTTGTATCTTGTGAGACTCTGGATAATTTATATTCTCATAAAATTGTTGTCATAGAATAAGATGCAATATACATTATGTACATGTATCACATTTGCATACAATTTTAACCCGCCCGTAATGTAAATTAAAAATGTTATGTACCTTTTTTAGTTTGTAGTAAATTTAGGATAAAAATATTTTCTTTAAATTACACGTCTAGCGTAAACTTATTCAGATTTATATCATTATCTAACAGACACATACATGAGGACGAGAAATGAGTGGTTGCTTGACCCTGGACTGACCAAGGTGGGACTTAGGTGTAACTTTGGCGGCGTCCACAAGGCAACTAACACCAGCAGTGATGAAATCACACACAGAATGCTTTTTGGGCGGGGACGCAACGGTAAGTTTACTAAACAAGCAATGATGTCAAAATGTTCTTTTTTAAAGCATTTTCCTGCTATAACAAGTTAGATTATCTCTTAAAATGGGGGGGGGGGGGGGGGGAGGGGGGTGGTGGTGGAATGGACAGACATTTATTTAATAGGTGAATAAAACCAGTAAGTGGAACATGTGCGGATCTAGAGAGAGTCAGGTGGGGTCCGATCCGCCTGGGATTTTCAGAGTTATTAAATTTACATAGTAAAGTAACAAAAAAGACCTCCTCCCCAAGAAAGACGAACCCCTCGTAAGGAGTATCATACTGTTATAAGGAGAATCAAATAAATGAAGCTTAATTTATGAAGTGAAGGAAAGCCCCCCTCCCCCCCCCCCCCCTCCTCCCCAACGAACTAGGCTTTCAAGTTTAGAGATGTGGTCGTTTTTGTTTTAAGCCTTTTTTTCTGAATTGTTGTCAAAGAATTTTTGGGAAGGATTTTGGGGGGTGGGGTAGTAGGGTGGACCCCCTCCCCCTAGCTAGCTGGGAAAAAATATGGATCTGCGCATGTGGAAAGATGGGGGGGTTTGTGAAATTCCCTTGCCCCTATCCCCTGAATGTGTATAAAATAATTACAACTGAATTCATTTCAGCTGGTCAGAAAGTAGACACAAGGAGAGGTTATGACGAAGTTTTTAATACGAAACTTGCCTACAAAACACCAGGTTTATAGATATATAAACGAGTGCATGTACTTGTATTCATAAATATAGTTTTAAAAAAAGCATTTCCAGTGCTCAGAAGATAGTCCCAAATCGTTAACTGTTTTCTATAAGAGGTTTTCAACTTTTCATTGAAATATATACAGTGGAGCCTCATTTATCCGGACACCAACAATCCGCGGCCGGACGCTCCACCTTCCGGACAAATTTATAGGAAACAATTAATATTTTTAGTTACGAAATATGTTGCAGTTCTCCGGACACTTCGTTAATCCGGACAATTGGTTCGGGAACATAAGATTCCGGACTGTATTTCTTTTTTTTGGACTCGTTGTTTATACTTTTTTGATTAGTTAGATGTACGTCAAACAATAAAATATTTACAGAGGTAGACAAAAATAACAATATTTATTTGTACATGTATTATATTAAACAGAGCTTAAAAAAGTAATTCAGATAGATAAAATTTTATTTTCATTATCATATAATTATGGGCATATTTAATTAAACAATGATATTATGTTGATTTTGAAAGATAAAAACATTTACTAGAACAGTTTGTATTCTATTGCCATCCACAGACTAATAAAACAACTTATGAATTTATGAGATACATGTATATACAAGATTCGTGAATGGGACTAACTTATGGCCACTGGTTATGCCAAGAATAGAATAGTGAAAAAAAGGCATTTATATCGGGAGGGTTGTGGTGTGGGTGATTTGGTTTTGTGATGTACATGTAGCAAGCATATATTGATTTGGTAATTGGAGATATAAAAAATATATTGCACTTACTTTTAGATTCAATAAAGTGCATTTATTTTCCTGCTTATGGCGAAGGGCCAATATACTCTAAATTTAGATCGAGTTATCTTTCTTTTCACTGCAAGAAAATAAGAATATGATTCAATATCCATTTATCTTATATTCTGATTGTGAAAACTTTGATACATAATTTAATAGGATTCCTTTTCCCCCCTGTTATCTACACTTTTTTTTTTTACTCTAGACGAAGTTTTTGATAAACTTACCCGACTGAAATTTTAGGTAGAGTTTTCACATTTAACCCCTATGATATTTTCCCTCCATCTAGAGACGATCATTGACAAGAGGAACGGAATCCCGTACGCGTCTGAGGGGGACAAATCGTACCAGGCAGTGGAATATTCCCCTAGCTTCCATAAGGCGGGGTCTAGTCTGCCCTGTCCACAGTTCGGGTAAGATATTTTTACACCTTTCTTTGTCCGCGAAAAAAATAATTGTCGAGTATCCTTTCACAATAATGAAACCTTTTTTTATAATTAAAGAACGTCATCATAGATTGATTTTTAGACTATTTTCATATTTTAGTTGGTTAATAAGATCCGTCGATAGAAGTTCCTAATAACTATGATAATAATAAACATATATAAGGCCCAAGAAAAAAATTGTAACAGCAAATTAAAACAACATTTTATTCGTTGGCCTTATAGTGTAATAATCTACGTTAGCGAACAAAGATATATTTTAATTTAAAAAATTGTCCGTTATCCCTAATGAATCATCGGTGATTTTTTTTTCTCATAAATCTTCCTACTCGATCACTTTCTTCATAAATCCAAAGATATATGCGTCATCTAAAAATTTCCAAAAAATATATATGATTGCATGTTCCATGTATGTATAGTGAGCCGGTATATGTCTATACATTTCATGACTTTTTGCATATCGATGACGTCTTTATTATGTTACAGTTTAACAATATCAAGTGAAGGAATAGTGAAGGCATCGAATTAATCTCTATAGGGAGTGATCTATCAGAAAATCCTCTTCTCTAGAGGAATAATGAATGATTAATCATCGGAATGTTAAAATTTCTTCTTTTTTAATTCTAATTTTATCCCCCCTTTCCCCCTTGTTAAATATAATTCTTTAAAACTATAGTTGTTCAGAGTTAGGCGTATAAGTGTTAATTTTATTCTACTTCAAAAGGAAGTAGAGATTGCTTACATGTTTATGGTGATGTCAGGAACTTCATTTTACTTTAAAATGATTTCCTCATTTCTTTCCTGGATCGATATTTTTCCTTAAAGAATTCAGTTATGTTGGTAATCCAATTTCTGCGAATTCGCTAAAAAAAAAAAAAAAAAAAACCACAGTAGTAATGAAGTGCGCATATATGGCAAACTACATGGCTAAGTAAACCTTTCAGCTTTTTTCCTGACAATTGAGAAAATGCAACCAAAACAAAAAATAAAAAGAAGAATAAAACATAAATGAATTTGATGTACAAAAATGCTCATTTAAACGTTGTGGTGATTATATCACGAGATAAAAGATGCGTTTTATACACATCTATAAGGAATCCCATTTTGGACCCACGAAAAATATATTTTTGTCGAAATCATTAAAACGAATTTAATTGTTAATTTTTTTTTTAATTCTTTATAATGAAGTAATAAAATGTGAAGTGAGTGAAGTGAAAATGAATTTAAAAAAATGTAAGGTGAATTAATTAAACCTTGTGTGTAGTGACGCTCTCATGCAACCCAGGAAGTTGATCAAAAGATTAACCCAATCGTCTTGGCAGGAACAAAAATGAATTTTAAAAGGAAAGAAAAAAAGAAATATGAAACTCTATCTATGACACACTCGAATCGCTTAAGTCCCCTCTCTGAATATTTTTAGTGATTTGCCCAAGGTACCGTCCTGCTTTTCAAATTAATCCTGTATGCTTTTCTGTGAGAACTTGATATTGCTTTTCCGAAAATCGATTCATATCTGATTTTCTGCGATTTTTAAATAAATGAACGACAGGTAGAACATGCGACTACTATACTTATATAGTCTGTCTAGCGTTTATTTCATTCAGCATCTCTTAATGTTTAGGTATTCTTAACTGAAAACCACCACCTATTATGTTAAGTTGCACTGTCTGGAAGCGAGGTGTATCCTTCCAAAACCAGACAATGCATTCCTTTTTATCCCCTTGCAACAAAGTTGGAGGGGAAATAGTAACCCGCTTGTGTGTTTGTGTGTGTGGGTGGGTGGGTGAGTAAGTGCGTAAAGGAATTTTTAAGTAATAATTTAAATCGGGATCGATGTGATCTATTACAAGGAAGTGCCCCGCTTTGCAGTGCCTTCTTTTCGTTTCGACTGTTCCAGAAATATTCAAGCAATTGACAGTTTATTAATTCCACTGGACTTTAGACTTTTAAGTAACACCAAATACAACATGTCAATATTTTAGAATTAGATAATTCTGCGGATTATTTAAGACAGACACTATTTTTTTTTTACGATATTTCAGATTTTTTTAACCTAGTGCTTCGTCTATGAACGATGTTTTATATTTTAAAAACTATTCCGGGTTAAATCTTGTGGTAAACATGGGACAATAGGTACATGTACTACCTGGCTAACGGACGAGCAATCGCGGAAAAACAGAAAAGATATTCGCGGAAAAGCAGTACTTTTTGTCACGGAAAAAACTGAAATTACGTTGTACCAATTAATCTTCCTTCTCTGAAAGCAGTAAACCATCTCTGCAGTAAATCGTCAAATATTACACAGACAGAAGCATGGTTAAAATTTTTGAGTTAACATGTATATGGGGTTTCATGTAGTAAACCTTCCCTCACAGAGTTAATCTATAGTCAACCCACAAGAGGCTCAGTTTCAGGCTGATGTATTTGAGGCCAAAAGGTGAAAGATAAAGGTCACAAAGTCATATATTAAAACTAGACCTAATGATTTTGAGGGGAAATGGTTAAAGGTCAAGGTTGCAATTTTGTTAGGTCCTCTACCCACTTATTATGACCTGAAGCGGAGCACTGGAGGGTCATAAATTTCCTGTTTTTGTTTTGTTTCTTTGTTTTTGTTATTTGTTTGTTTTTATGACTACATGTGTGTTATTTAACATCGTGTAAGAAGTTCTTACCATTTTCTTGCCATTTTTTCAGCCAAGTCAGGTATTTACAGAAAATGTGTGAAATTAACATTATCACAAACAATAACATCACTCGTAAAGATATAACTAATGCATTTATTAACAAAGACAGCGTTCAATACGGTACCGATGCATGTGAACTCGATTTGGGTTGTTTCATTGATTGAAGTGGAATGTTGAAAAACGTTAATTGATTGTATCAATTATAGTGTCCGATTTTCATTTGTCATAGTTTTAGTTTGTGCTTTGATATATACAGTGTAGGCATAAAATTGTTATGCAGCTAATTAACTACTCATTATGGGGGAACATTATTTATATCTCTTAAATGATTCCTTTATAAGTTAAATATTTTTGTTCTAAAAGTGTTGCCAGGTAAAAGTGCAAAGAACCATCCACTTATATAATTCAGACTTTTCCCAAGTTTATCAAAGTAAACTATAGTCGCATCATGTTCACAGATCTCTTGTATAATAGAAAAGAACTTATTAGCACCGTACTAAAATAAGGCAGACAATAAACCTTTCAGGAGAAAGACATATTTAGTTAACTAACACGATCAAATATCCGTCATTTAGAGCAAGTGGGCTGACGGCCAGGATAAATGAAGAAATATCACCCATAAAACGATACCATTTTCTGAAATAAATCGGGCTCACGTGACGTAGAGTTTTGGCACGTGATGATCTCAGATGTTCGGCGTCTGTGTGTTGATTTTGAAGGAGGAAAGTGACAGAAACTAAGAAATCATGATCCTTTTTATTAATCATCACATCTCGTATAAGAAAAACTACTCACTATGCGTATAGGTTTATCCCTTTGTATAGTTGACAAGGAAGTGGTCTTAGGAACCCAGGTGCCACTCTTGTTCTGTCAAAAGACTGTGTGTCTGTTTGACTTTTATTTTAAATTGTAAACAAGTGAATCTCTAAAGTGAGTCAAAATCGATTTTAGTTTATTCGCGTCTAGTATCTATTTTCCTTTGTCATTCCATTTTCTTTACTCAGGTGAACTTATACATATCGTCCAAGCTTATGTATGTAGTCTGTTTTGAATCCCTACTGAACATTTTATTTTAACCTTTTTTTTCACAACCATTAATTTAAAATTACCAAAAGGTGTAAATAATGCTTTCTGAAAATGAAGAAATAATTTTATACAAATAAGTAATAATTTTCAATAGAACATTTAATAATTAATGAACAAACGATATTTTATTGTTGAAGTATTTATTTCACAAAAATACAATTCAAAAGACAGTGGCAAAAGCTGTTCTATTGTTCTATGTGTATTTGCTACTATATGCTACAGTAACTATATTGAATGCTTTCCTATTATTACAGTGTGGTTCGAAAGTAAGTTACAAATAACAGTGCGACATTTAACTCCGGACACGACATTTGTCCGGACTTTCGCCAACCACTTTTCCAAAGATATGTGGAAACCATTTATGTCATCTGATGGGATTTTTTAAAACTTAACACATGAGCCAAAATTTACACCTGATTATCTTCTAGGTAAAAAGATATTACACCTGAAACCAAGAAATCCCATGGGATAATGGTGGGATTTTTTCTCCTAACCAATATCCCACCATTATTCTGTGGGAGAAAAAGGTATTCTGTGGGATTTTTTCTCCCATAGAAGTTTGAAAATCCCATGAATGCTTTATAATGGGACAAAATCTCCCATATACTTGTATATAGAAGATAATCTCCCATCTCTTTATAAATGTGGGATTTATCCCATATTCATTACAAAATAGAAAAAAATTCTCCCATGGGATAAAGAAACAACAGTTTTAAACCAAATGAAGAAACTATTGAACAGTTTAACTACTATTAATTATTTATTTTCATTTAAGTTATGTGTTTCCTAAACCATTTTTTTTAAATTTCTTATAATTAACCAATTTTGGGGTAATGTTTAATTTTTTCAATGATTAAAGATCAAAAAATCAAAAGTGGTTTTATCTCTATAACTTTCAGTTTTTTTTGTTTTTGTTTTTTTTTTTAAGTAAAAAGGCAATTTCCCTTGTATGTAGATTACCTTCTTTTATTCCTTGTATGTAAATTTTGAATGGGAAAAATAAAAAATGCAATTAAGAAAGAACAAATCTTTTTTTGTTTATTTTCCTCCTAATCATTTAGGTTAATTTATTGCATAAGTGCCATTTGTCAAGCTTTACAACATGATCAGATCCATGCACGTTGTTAGATCTTTGCCTGTTTGCTGCACTAAACTGATAGGTTTCCAATTAAAAAATCACATGAAATTGGGTCGTATCAG